TAATTAGCTGTACGTTTCCCGAACAGCTCTCTCAAGTCATGGCAGAAATGTAATGGCCTCTCAGGATTTTCATTCCCCTCCTTTGCACAAGGCACTCTAATGGCCCCAGCATTGCAAAGAGCAGCTTTGTGCTGTAAAGTCACTTTGGATGTGTACCCTGTAAGAACATGTCCAGATTCTGGGTCCATCTGTCTCCACTGGGATGACTGTATGGCTTTTGGACCTGAAGATGGTGGTGTTATGGTTGTCCCTGTGGTCATGTCACTCAGTGTTGGCTATTGGTACTGTTCCTATTCCATATTTCTTCCTCATCAGTTCACATGACAGTAATGTCTTTTCTTAGATATTTAGAGACACTTAAAAAGGGAGAAAAGGAACATGCTTCAGAGCTTTCAAGTAGCTTTGTGGAAAAGGTAGAGTATATTTTATTTTGGGAGTGATGTATAGCCCAGATAAGACTTTTCACCAAGAACCATTATATCTCCAGTTGAATTTTTAATTGATTTAGCTCCTCTGATCTGTACTTTGCCAGACATGAACCACTCACCTTTGGACTGAGTCCAGGGTGTAATGGAAAGTTCGCTGAAACCTCATCAGCTTTTGTTAAACCTGAGTGAATTTCAGCCCAGCACATTTCTTGTGAATAATTAAACAGTTAAGCAGCTGATGGATTTGAACCTCTGGCTCCAGTCAGCTATATTTCACAAGGAATGGGCTCATGAAATTCACGGTGTTTTTTATGGATCTTCTTTTGGCCTCCTGTGATGGATAACTGCATCATCTGGCAACCCAGAGTGGATGTTTTTCCATCTCCCACTCATTACCAGCATGAGCTGCTCCATGTGGCACACTCCTCTCATCAGTTGCTGTTTCTCAGTGGTAAATTCTCCAGTATTTATTTTTCCTTTTCCCCTTTTTATGTAACATTCAGAGTTGTTATCCTTTACTTTAATATCACTTTCTATCAGTACAACTGCTGTAGTCACAGCGAGGGTGTAGTGCTATGGCAACAGTGTATTAGCTGCAGTCTTGCCAATGAGTAAGACACAGCACAGCAATCAGATGATTTATCAAAATCTGCTGTGGCCTGAGCTATCCCAGGACCTGCCTATCTCCTTCATGTTGGTTATGCTACTCAGATACGTTCTCTGCTCTCAGTCTCCAGCGATGCCATTTTAAACCTGACTTAGCACCTTGCAAAATATTTTTAGATGTGCAATAATCACCCAGCTGTCTTTGGTAGTGAGCAAAAATGGAAAGCAAGCTTTTTTTTTTTTCTGTGACTTTTCCACAAAGGTACTTTCTGGGATTTCAGGGAAGAAGAGAACATATAAATGGAAGAAAATAAAAAAAACCCTCCTGGAGTGGAGCACATGAGAGATGTGTTGGATTTCCACTGCTAAAGGCTGCGAGCTGAAGGCTGCCCTCGCCCATGGGGTACCCTGAGCTCCAGCTGTGGTTGCAGGGTGCAGCCGTGCACCTCTGTCCCACGTACACAGCTGTGATGGGCACTGCAGCACCATATGTTTGTTAAACCTTTGCTCAGATGTGGCAGAGATAAGAAATCCCTTACACAGATTTTACATATGCAAATGTAGATGCTCCTTGCCGTCAGGGTTTGGCCAGAAGCTCCTAGAGAGGTATCAAGCAAGAGCAGGCTGCTGCAGATGTAAGGACACAGAACGTTTTCAGTGAGACTGGTACCAGTGCTTGGACAAACTATGGTTGCTTGTTGCCCACTCATACCTATTTAGTCTCCAGTTCTACTTGCATGCAGTGAATCAGTGAGTCTGTATTACTGTTGTCACTCCCCTAATAGTGCAGGAAGGTGATTTGAGTTAAAAGGTGCTTTATTTTTCGTGCTATAAGCCCGTGCCTTGTGATTTGAGTGGACATTGTTTTGTTGCATACCAGCATACTGAAGTCAATTATCAGGTGCTGCTGAACAGTTAAATGAGCTGTCCTTAGAGTCCTTCTTATTAGGTGTAAGTATTCCAAGTTTGGATGTCTGTATGCTTGAGGTTCCCACATCTTCCTCATCCCCTACACAGACAAACCATACCATCTCTCTGCTATGAAGAGGAGACCTGTAGACTCCAGCTGCACATTCTGCTCCATGCCTCTGGCTGCTCAGGAGCACCCAGCAAAAGAGCAGAAAGGATTATTTGTTGTTTAATTTAGCAGAGGAAGGCAGTTTGATGATGCGTGAGTTGGTCTGACACCTATCAAGTTTTGTGATCTTATTTGCTAATCTTTTTAACTTTCTGTTTTGTTAGGATAGAGTTTCAAGAGCAAATAGGATAAATGAGATTAAGTCTGTCACCCCAAATTACTCTCCTCTGAGTTACGAGCAGATTCACTCTGTCGAAGAAGTATAATTATGAGGAAAATGCTGCCTGTGTAATTGTGTGCTTCGTTCAGAAGAACTTGAGATCCGTAATTATCCGCAATGTGCCAGGGCAGCGCGTGCTGGCTCTTCATTTCAGCTCTAAACAAAACCATGGAAGATTTCTGTCCTGTGCACTTACAGAAGTAGCACAGAGCAGCACGGCTGGAATCGCAGTGTTATCCATCAGAGCTCCTGGGTCCACTGTGGGATCTAAATTAACTTAGAGCATCGATGCAGTGCCTTCGAGAAGTGCTGGTGTGGTTACCTGGAAGGTGGTTGTTGACTGTGGGGTGAGGAGCACCTCCTGTGTAGGGCAGCATGTCTTTGGAGCTGTAGGTGCACCAGGTGAGGCAGGTGTAGCTGCTGGGACACAGGCGAGTCCCTGCACACCCCATGCTGGTCCCATCACTTAACTTCTCCGTGGGCATTGCCTTTGAGTTCTGCAATGATGGCAGTTCTGCAGCTGGTGCAGCGAGTGCACAGGGCTGTTCCTTTGGCTGTGTGATTCCGTGGTGAGATGAGTTGGTGACACAAAGGCCTGTTGAAAGCTTGGATTGGTCAGCAAACCAAAGAAAGCTTTGAATCCGTGTGGTGTTTGTCTGAATTCATAACAGCTTCCATTAAGAAAAGCCTATGAAAGGTTCATCTAGGTTTGTCCCAGAGATGAGTTGTTATGCTGCTGGGAGCAGCTTTCCCAGAGGAGGAAATGCACAACGTTGGCTCGCCATAGGGCCTCTCTGGGCGTTTCTGCAGCTTCCTTCTTGGGGCAGAGTACAGAAGGTCAGATGCCAGTTTTGCCTGATGGGTTAGCAATGAAACCAGCCTGCCAGACATGGATTACAATTTTTGTTACTTCGGCTAAAACTGTGTGCGCGTTAGAGGAGAAGCATAGAGAGGATGCATCATGTTTTGTGAGTCCTATTAGCAGTCTGATTTTCTCTTTCAGACCATTTTGCAGTTATGAGTCAGGACTTGATCTCTCATCTGTTTTTATCGATCAGCCCAGTTTACAAATGAGGCCTCTTCTGACCCATCTAAAATTTTATGTAATATCTAATACTGCATAAACATTCTGGGAAGAAAAAATGGAAGGATGGTGCACAGACCTTCTGGCTAGTACGTACAGTGACTCACTCTGTCCTTCACTTCAGCTTCCGTGAAGTATTTTCAGACACAGTGTTTACCCATTAAATGAGCTGTTTAGTTTAGCTTAAGGCTCAAGTTTTTCATAGTATTCTGATGTATTTGTTGGGAACATGACAAAGGGAATAACAAATGAGAACATTAACTCTTCCTTACATTAATCATCTGAGGGAGTCTCTCATGTAATCTTTCTGTGAATTAGCAGCTATCTGTAAGAAAAAATCTCTTGCCTGCTCACAAAGAAATGGGAGAAAATGTGCTGTCCTTCTAATGCTGGCCACAAGAGCACACGTGTTTAACAGTGTCTCTTCAAGGTCGGTAACACCATTCTCAGCTGTTCAAAACAGCACATCAATAGCACAAGCAGTGCGAATTAGATTTGGGAGAATGTTGGGTGTGCACTGTTGTTTTTTTTCTCTCTGCAGGCTTCAGCCTGGCAGACAGCCCGATTCAGCTGTAGATGTAACTCAGGCAAAATGTGATCCGGAGTGCGTGTGTTAATGCTTGGTTTGTGTGTGTGTGCAAGGTGCTGCTGCTGACTGGTTTGAGCAGTTTGCCAGGGTCCCTGCTGGCAGGGCAGGCGGGAACTGAAAGAGAAATAAGTTTGCTGTAGTGCTTAGCAGTGAGCTTTAGAGAGGCTGTAAATGGCTGAGTGAGTAAACGCTGCATTTTATTGGACCCAGTTACCTGTCTTGGTCCAGCCCTCCTCTGCAATGGGAAATGGTCTTTGCAGTTAGAGCAACTGTCCTGTAACTAACAGGCATTTCTCCGAGCTCTTTCCAAAGTTCCCTTGTTTCTCTCCTTGTCCTTTTGTCCTCCCCAGTTACGTGTGCTGAGTGTGCCGTGTCTTTCAGTGTTTTGGAACAGTACTCTCATGGCAGTTGCCATTCACTTTCTTTTCGGCATTCCCAGGTGCTGCAGCCACCAGCAGAGCTCGTGCTCCGACCAAATTCCCACCAGGGAGAGGTTTTGTGGTGTTGGTTTTGCTTGTCATTTAGAGTTGGAAACCACTCAGGAAGATTCTGTGGGACGTGAATGGCCTTTGCATTGTACCTGCTGTGGTGATCAAGGGTGCAAGAGTCCTGTTTTGCTTTCTGCCAGATGGGAACCGGGCACTGTCTGGAACCAGGCAGTGTACACGATAAACAGAAATGCAACAATAGAATGCAGCTTTTACACAGAGAAGCAAAATGCCAGGTTGCAAATAAAGCAATAGGGTTGCAAAGCCCCAGAAGCCGCGTGAGCAGCTGGAGCTTTCTGTGCTCTGGAACAAAGCATCTTTACAAAGGGCGGCTGCGGCGTGCTGTAAATTGCTGAAACTGGCAATTGAAATTTCTGATGTTAAATTGTGAATCTGGCTGAATGGCTGGTGGAGAGTGGATGAGACTACTTTTGTGATGGTGGCGAATGGGAAGAAATTCTCGATACAGCCAAAAGAGCCCTCACCTGTAACTTTTCTCCTCCACAGGTGCCCCTGGCTGACCAAAGCCATCTCCCCAGCCATCCCGGTGTACAATGGGCTCGTGTTCTTGTTTGTGCTGGCAAACTTCAGCATGGCTACTTTCATGGACCCTGGAGTTTTTCCACGAGGTAACAGAAAATGGGACTGGTGGATGCCCTCCCCCTTCTCTCCCCCTTTTCTTTTCTTTGATAATCTTTCTTGTAGATTTTTAATTTGTTTATGTGTTATCTTTTACCATCAGCTGGCAGTACAGTTGATGTAGTAGTGAAGAGCTTCTGAGACTTCCCAGCTTCTGAGCTGGGAGGTGTCAGTTGTCCTTGCACTCGCTGGGCTGGCAGTTGAGGGTACAGCGCTGTGCAGCATCGTTCTCCTTTGAGCAGCTCTCCTGACTGATGTGATTCCAGTTGCCATCCCTGTGTCATGCTGGCATGTTGGATTTAAGTTGCTGTCTTCACAATAGGAAGTTGAATGTAGTGGAGGGGAGAGGCTGAACTTTCTGAAACATCTTCATCAAAGCAAACTTTCCTTCCAAAAAGCCTTAAAACAAATGCGTAAGCATTGAATGCTAAAAAAGGTAATGATTAAGGCTTGCTTTAGAGTGTCTAAAAATGTATACATTTAAAAGATATCCCTGCTTGAATTAGTATGGATGCACAGCTGATTAAATAGGATAAAGATCGCTCTGCTCATGTAATGGGACACACAATGGAGCTCTCTCTTTTAACACAACTTAATGAGAGAATTATCACCTAATTTTATCTGTCTTCCAATAATTATTCTCATGCAGTTTGCATCGGAGACTGCTCTAGGCAGTCTTGCCAAACCAGTGGATCTGTGCTCTTTGCAAGGTGTTCTTGCCTACCTCTGTTCTGTGAATATAAAAGCTATTTTGAATTGCCTTTGCACCTGACAAGAACAAGGTACCTGTCCTGCCAGCTTCCATGAATAGTGAGTGCCAGGTTTCTCCAGGTGGCGGGGCATAATGATGAGCATCTGCTGCCCTTCCCTTCAGCTGAGCCCTTTGAACCTCTGAGCAATTACTGCAGCACTCCAGCAAAGGAAATAATTGTGTGCAGAGGCAACATTTGTGCAGGATGATGTTCATAAAGGTACAAATGTGTGCCAGTGAGATTTTCAAAAATGTAAGCACATAGAGCTTTTATCTAGTTTCCTGCATTTTTCAATTCCTCCCTCTCATCAGACATAACCACACTTGAATATGCTGTGAGTGTGAGGTTATTGATGGCATCCACACTCTTTGCCTTCAGTAGGAGGAGTGCTGAAACAACGTTGTTCAGTTCTGAACATCTCAGTTTGGGAATCTAATATTTTTGTACAGTGTGCTTTCCTCAAAAAGGAGCTTGCTGACACTTACTGTGGCCTAGTGTGATCAGGACTGAGCATATTGTAAATTCATGCCTTCCTTTAGACTTCTCTAACTTCCTCTTGCCAACAAACTCCTTAGTTTGGTCTTTGCATTTAAAGGAGAAAAGGATATGGAGATCAAATGGAAATTTTGAAATATTCATAGCATCGTTAAGGTTGGGAAAGACTGCTAAGATCATCTAGTTCAACCATCAATTAATTCTCACCAGCTTCTTTTAGTTCCCAGTTCCTTAACACAAAGGAGTCGGGAGCAAAGCGGAGTGCCCTGCAGCTCGCCTTTCTTCCATCCCTTTCTGTTTACTTGTGGCTGCAGGCTTATCTCCCCATGCTCTGCATGTACTTGGTCTGGAAGAGGTTGGGAGTAGGGAAAATGCAAGAGAGATGGGAGTCATACTTAAAGAAAATGAGGGGGTAAAAGTGTAGATGTGTGAAGGAAGCAATCTGATAAGGAAAAGATGGGAAAGACTATAAATACCATTGCTGGGAGGAAAGGGGAGCAGATGTTATTTCAGATCACAAGTGTGCATGCTAAAAAAGCTATCACTACCCCACGCCACCCACAGAGCTGCAACCCAAGGAGTTAAAAAACTGTAGGAGTGATTTAAAATGATATACGATGGATCTGTTTGCTTTCTGCTGTTGAAATTACAGATTTAATCTTGGTTTTCAAGCTTTTTAGCACATTTCCGATAGTTACAAATTTACTTTAAAAACAAAACAATAGAAAAGCAATGCAAAAACAGAGCCTTAAGAAATGGCAGGATTCCTTTAAGGAAGCTGCCAAAAATCATGAGACGTGTTATAAAACCAGGAGATTTGGTTGCCTTTTGTCAGCGAATAACGCTGAAAGAATCTGAGTGGTAAGGTACCAACCTCCACCAATGGCTTTTTGTGCTCAGATCACCTAAAGCTGGTAATAAGGACATCTCTACTTGTATCATATGAGCTTACAGGTTCTCTGGCATGGGAGAAGCAAGCCCCCTTTTTCTTGTTTTACTGAACAGGACCTAAATTAACCTCCTGGATCTGTTACTTATTTATTGATTTTTTTTGTTTGTTTGTTTTGCTGGCTCTTGAATGATCCTGGTATGAGCCAGGACTTGCTCTGTGCAATTGAGCTGCCAGTAACACACTAAAATGATTGAGAAGAAAGGGGAGTCACTGAAATTGAGACTGCCCTGACAAATCTGCTTTACGGTCTGAATTGAGTTTGCTGATGTTTGTTGCTGGCTAATTATAAATACTGACTACAAACCGACTTCCAGTATTTTTTATGTGAATATTCTATAAATACTCTTCAGTTGTGTGTCACTTCTGCCAGACTGATATGTTTATACAAGCACATACCACTGTACGTAGGTATGGACAACTTACTGACTTTTTGACTGCCTAGTCAGTATTTTTACAAGTGTTTAAATGGTGTGACCACTCTCTTGTCTTGTTTTCCTATGCCCACACGTGTACTGTACAGCATGGACTGATTTGAAGCATTGAAGAACCCAAAGATTGTATTAATAGAAGTGCCCCAAGGGATTGAGAGTCTGGCTCCCACTGACTGTCACTGGTAGTTTATGAGGGAAAATTGTAGGGAGCAGCGCCAGTACAGCAGTCTGCTTCCATGCACAAACATTAATCCAGAGAATATTCTTGCAAGGTAAATATTGTAGCTGAGCCAGATCCCAGACTCATCTAAGTGAAGGGAAAAGCTCCTTGTGAAGTTGGTGGAAATTTGATCATTTTAGTAGGGCTAACACATTTAGAGAAGATTTAATATAGAACAACATGACAGTTATTGATGCTCCACAGGGATAATATCGTGAATTTCCACCTAATTTGGAGTCTGTCAATGCCAGCTGCACTGCAGTGTTTTACCAGGTGTTAAGCAGAGTTTAACTACTTACGTACTCTCTGTCAAAAGGAAACAAATAAAGACTACAGGAATCTAGAATAAAAGATGAGCTTTTGTGAACGTTGTTCTTTCTCTTTCTTCCCAAGATGCATTCGTCCATTCTAGACTGGCTTTTATTTTTTGCATTTATTTTTAAATGGCCTCTTTTTAAAAACAGCAGCACTTGGTTGAGACGACAAGCCATCCACCCACTGGGTTGTCATTAATAAGATGACTGCCATATCGTCCTCCCCATTTTACTAATGGCAAAGAGAGGCTAAATAACTTATCCCAAGGTCACAGAGTGAGAAAATCAGAATACAGGACTTGATGACTTCCAGTCCTGTGCTCAAATCACTACATTGTACTGCCTCTGAGAGAAGCGAGATCATCCCAGTTAAATACTGCTACTAAAGTAAGAATATGTGGGGTGTGCTATGAAGAAGTGAGCAGGAGATATGCTATAAGGAAGCAGACACTGGTGGCAGGGCTCATCGCAGGCACACAAATTGCTTTTCCCTGTGGCATCAAGCTCCCAGGAGCAAAAGGACTTTGGGATGGTGGTGGACTGGCACTTGACAAATTATCACATGGTGTCATCTGGGTTGGTTTGGAGGCTTGAGCTAACAAAACCTTATTTTAATATCTCTTAATGTAATTTCTTGTGATTTATGTTCTGGTAAGCTAGCATTGATTAAATTGCCCTCAAGACAGGGGCTTGAATGATTTCTTGATTTCTGTCTCCTCTTTGACTCTAGTTTGCATCTCATCCCATGCATTCTGCCTGTAACTGCTGGCTAAGATAAGACTCAAACACTTCTCTTTGTCCAGGCTCTGGACTGGCTGCCTGGTGCTCCCATGGGAGTTTTGCCTTGGGTGCAGAAACAAGCCCAGATCACTGATATGTTCAGCAACCAGGACAACCTGTTCTGACAGTCCATCACTTCCACCACTCTCTGTTTCTCTGACAAGCCCAAGAGCACATGCAGTGCCCTGTATCCAAGGCGCTGTCTGGATTAGATATTTTATCATTACTCTCTGTTATTTCCAGTAACTTTTAGTTTTGCATTGAGCAGCAGATGAAGATGAAGATAAAGACGATGACTTCCGAGCTCCACTCTACAAGAATGTGGAGATTAAAGGAATCCAAGTACGGATGAAATGGTGTGCAACCTGCCACTTCTACCGTCCTCCGCGCTGCTCTCACTGCAGTGTCTGTGACAACTGTGTTGAGGTAACAGTGCTGTTGATTGTGCTGGCTTTGGCCCGGTGATGGGGTTGCACGTACATGCTACTGGAAACGTGCAGTTGGGTCCTTCCCCCAGTATTTCAATTCTTGGAAGTTCCCAGCTCTAACCTTGGTGATGGTGTTCTACTGATCAGTACCATTTGAAGCACAGCCTTCTGTTGTGACGTATGTTATGTATGCAATATTGTTTGATGTCAGCTTTGTTGCTGATGATAATTAGGTTAAAAAGTTTATAATCCTGGCTGTGTTTTCCTGGAGGTAGCTTAGGGATCATGATTGTAAAAAAGAGGTGAATGGGAGCGTTCATGGAGAGGCAGAGTTCAGGAGAGCAGAAAGTCCAGGGTGAACTATTCTCACTTGTGTGTTTGTCCACCAGTGTAGGCACCAGTTTGTTTGAAATTAAGTGATGAACCATAAGATCACTGGGGATGTGTGGAAATGAAGGTCAGAATTCTGTGTGTAGTTGTACACCCAGTGGAAGGGCTCTACGTTTACATCAACACCTCAGCTTGGAGTGTGAACTCAGTCATGCTTCTAATGTTAGTCCCTCTGAATTATGGGGCTTTCATGTTTCTTAATAACCCTGAGGTCTTGGTAATGCACACCGGATATTTAAAAATAACCCCCAAACAGTAAGGAGTGCTTTTGGGCTATAGACATCTCCTAAAATTCTAAGTACAGAGTACTGTATCCACAGTACTTGAGTTGCCTGGGGGCAGTTTCTATAGCTAAGCTAAAAATTCCACTTGTTAAGGATCATTTCTGATGCAAGGTCTTTTTTTTTTTTTTTCCAAATAGAAATGTGATTTTTTTAATGTGTCTAAAATGTATTCAGCTGTGCCATTAGAATGAAAGGGACTGCTAATCAGACAGCAAAAAATACTGGTATCAGCTAGAATGCCATATACATCATCTTTGTCCTAATCCTCTTTGCCAAAAGCAAGGGAATAGTCCCAAGGAAAGCAGCACAGTGCTTGTGTGAGAAAGGCTGACAGGGTTTATCTTGTGTCAGTGATTTTCTCCTTCAGGAGAAAATCCTTAAGGAGGATGCTGGATCTGAGAAGATGGAGAGAAAGAAGCTACTGAAGTCCCAGGGTGGAGGAGAATAGCCGCAGCTATTTGTTCACACAATTGCATTAGACTGCTGTGTATTGTTAAATAGAGGTGGATGTTTTGGAGAAAACCTGACTCATATATTCCTAGTTTAAAAAAAAATGTTCTCACTATTTCTAGATTCTAAGGACTGTTTAGATGATAAAGTTCTCAATTATCCCATGGAATTTCTTTCTTCTCCTCTCCCCAGTGTCTTAGCATGAAAATCCGTTTTCAAGAAATGTTGTTTTCTCAGAAAAAGATTGCCCAAAACCAATGGTACAAACACTTGCGATTTCGTGCTGCCATAGGGCCTCCAGGGGAGGCAGTTCTGCAGCAGAAATGAAAATGAGAGAGAATCCAAAAGTAACCCAGATAAACCAGCAGAATGCAAGGTGACTGCCTACTTCTCAGGAAGATTTATTGATAGTCAGAATAGTTCAATGCTTCTTATTCTTCTGGTAGGCGAGAATGAAACTCTGCTTGTGTAATTAAATTATGATTGCTGTGAAGAAATATAGGCAGAAAGCATTAATAACTTATGAATCAATAAATTGTGATCTTAAACAGCATACTTTATTGATTTTTGTGATGTTTATTTCTATTCACCTGTCTATTCTACAAGAGCTTGAAGACAGTGATAAGAGTGACTCTGCTGGCTTTTCAGTGTGGGACCCATTGGGGGTTGGAATTCACCTCTTTTCTCATTCAGTCTGGAATGTGCTATGAAAGTTCTTAGCCTGAATATAAAACTTTTTGATATAAATAACCTAACAACAAAAAATGACAACGCTTGCAGAAATAAAATCAGTTGAAACCCAAAGCCTGCTGTGACCAGATGGACTGAAAAATAAATCCATGACAAAAGTAGTCAGATTTTTTTTCTTTACTGGAGTGTTCACAGTGGGTATTTATATAGTTTCATAATCTGTAGATATTTTAGGCAGTGTACAATCAGATTCACATCATAGGCGTATGCTGTGTCAGCATTTCAAGCATAGCCTGAAATGATCCTTATTAAATCACCTCTGGCATTTTCTGATGTGCTTTGAGAAAACTGATTGATTTCTTTTATTTAGTAAAGTTTTGGTAAATATATTGGGCAAAACTTACAAATATGGAATTTTGTAGGGACTGCTTTGTGGAAAAGTATTTTTCTTGAGGCTTGCTAATTGAAGTTCAGCTACATACAAATACAGAAATGTCGGGGAGAGAATCCTGCAGCCAATATTGCATCTTCAGAATACTATAGGGTATGATAGCTTCATTATAATTGACTCCTCATGTGATGGATGATTAAAAAGAAATCAGTGCATCTGCTGCCAGTGGATGAATACCCTGTTTTATGTTGCAATGCGTTCTCTTAACTCTATGAACTCTCAAGTACCTCTCCATTCATATATAAAGAAACCATTTTGTGCAAAGAAGAGCCTTATAAGGAGACTGTACCTGATTTGTAAGGCTTCAGAACTAGCTCGATGTGATTTTACATGACAACAGTTCAGATTTACCTCAAAGAAAAGCTATTTCCTTTCACTGTTTGGATATTGTTCCCTGTCTCTCCCTTTCTTTGCAAGGATTTTGACCATCACTGCCCATGGGTCAACAATTGCATAGGACGGAGGAACTATCGCTATTTTTTTCTCTTCTTGCTGTCCTTAAGTACGCACATGGTTGGAGTATTCACCTTCGGCCTGATTTTCATATTGAACCACATGGAAAAGCTGGGAGCAGCTCATACCACCATTACGTATCCTTCTTGTTGGTCTTCAGAGACACAAGGTGGCCTAGAGGAAAATATGAAAGAGTGGATATGAAGGTTTGTCTTCCTGGAACTGGTGCAGGTTTACTCCTCTCCTGATTCCTGTTGCTCCTCCCGTGTAAATGCTTAGGACAATTCTTTGTCCCTGCTCATCTGACGTGTGCTTACCCCCAGTGCTGTGCCTGATCTTTTGTCTATCTCAGTCACTGCTGAGGCACGCAGCAGAAAGATACAGCCTCCCTGAATTTTACTTCCAATTGCATGTGACTCTATACTGTTGAGTACTCTTTACTGCATTTAAACATATGATGCAGTAGTGTTTGCCCTGGAGGCATGTCATCTTCATGGCAGTGTCAGTACTAACCCCTGGCTCTGAGGATTGCTGCTCCCTTTGATAGTTTAGTGTAGAGCAGTCTTTACAAGATGATTGAAGCCGGGACCAATGAGTTCACTTTATTTTTGAACAATCTCAATGATAAGGACTGTTGCTAGGAATAGATGGACTTAAGTTGAAATTTGCTTAGCCTAATCAAAGATGATGAACATGCTCCCTATTTCCAAGATTTTTTCTCCTTTTCCTTTCCTTGTTCTTCATAGTTTCATTTTCCCTTCACTTACTCCAGTTTCTTTAACTCCTGGGTACAGAATGGCTGTCATGTGTGTGGCTGGGTTATTCTTTATTCCAGTCATTGGTCTCACTGGTTTCCATATTGTTTTAGTGGCACGAGGACGCACGACCAACGAGCAGGTAAGAAGCAGTCTTTTCTCTGTGTTTGTAGCTAAAATGTTGATTTGGAAAGAAAAGCCAGCAAGTCAGCTTCAACAAATACAAAAAACTAACACTCTTTTGAGGGTTTTATGCACATCTAGGAAGTTTGCCTCATTTTTCGTTTTCACTTTTTTTCTTGAATGCACTACAGGCTCAGATGTCCCCCTTCTCCTAACCACAAAGACTTGTTTAACATTTGAAATCTACTTATGTCCTTGAAATAGGTTTTATGTGGTGTGTACTGTCAACTCCAGAATTCAGACTTTATGAGTCAGACTGAATAAGTCATGAGACTGAACAAAAGAAAGGAAAAGATTAAATCAAGTCTTTGCCCTATCTCCTGATATTTTGAACTCCCCCAGCCAACCCACATGCTCTTAATAAGGTCTGAGCTAGCTCTTTGTCTCTCTCTCTTTGTCTCCCTTGTTCTCGTGTATGTGCATGCACACACACAGGCTATTGGACCTAACTTGTTTTGCTCTTCCAAACCAAGTGCTGACACAGCACTTGTGCCAAAAAACCTGTAAGCTTTAGTTCCTTTGCAGTACTTACATGTATCGTGTTCAGACCCTGTCTGAGGTCTGTGTATATACATGTGCATGCATTGACAGCATGCAACAGGTGATAGAGATCTAGTCATGGGATCCATAGCATGCTTCTGCTGTATGTAAGGGGTAGCTCAGCTGGGGCGTGCAGCGTGCCAGTAAGCTGTCTGAGGCTAGGTCTTTGTACACTGGGATGAGATTGTTTCCTATCCTGCAAGAGACAATAAAACCATGCATAAAATCCATGAATGGTATGAGAAGTTAACATAGGCAAAGAATCTGAAGTCATCCTGAATTGCTGCCTAACATGGACTTTGAACAAAGCAGGTTTACTGCAGCTGAAAATCCTTAAATGCTTTGCTGTGTCTATCTTAGTCTTGCTTGGAGTCAGCTGGTCTTAATTTTAAAATTGATTTTGGCCAAGTATTAAGTTTGATAGTGCTAACAATAGTAACATGAAATCCAAAGCATTTTGGTCCCTTATCCCAAATCATGTTCTGTCTGAGGCTTGTTTCTGTGCAGGGGTTAAAATTGTCCGTGAAAATTTGAAGAAGGAAAAAAAAAAATTTAAAAATTAGAAAATAAACAAAAAACTTAATTCTGTGTTTAGTTACACTGACATTTGGATAGGTTGAGAATTTTGCATTTAATTTGATTGAAATAACTATTGGAAAAGGCATTCTAGGATGGTTTGGTTTCCTGAGCTACCAAACCACTGAAACACTGTCTTCATTTCTGGGCAGTCCTGCGTACTGCAGAGCTGTAACCAGAGCATGGATGTTCCCAGCCTTCAGGTGCCTCTCTTATCTAAGTAATTAGGACCACAGGCTAGCAGTGACAGATAAGAGATCTGCTTCTGGCTTTGCCACTATTTTAAAACATTCCCTTTTCTCCTGTAGTCTTACTAGATTTTCTTTTCTGACGCTATTAGTTTTCTGCAGTCAAGACTCTGGTTACAGTCTGCTCAGCACACATCCCCTTTTCCCATGACATTTTTGTAGGCCACTGGTGCAGACGTGTGGTGTTTTACTGTGCATTCTTGCTGTCCGTTCATTCCAGAGCTCATAGGTTTTGAGCACTCATAGAAGCCAGATTGTGATTTGGGAGTGCGTGGTGGCTGAGCATAGTTTTCTGAATACCTCTGGAAGTATTTTATGGAACCAAAATAACCAACATCTGCTCATAGCCTGGTATTTTTAGTTTCTGGATAGAGTAAATAAATACCTCTCCTTCTGAGACTGCTTTCCATCTGTATCTCAAACTGTGTTGGTCGTTCTGAAAGTAATGCCTCCCATTTATTTCCATGGAAACTGCAACAGATACAAAGAGCACAATAACATCACTTGCTCTACCAAATTCTCAGCTACAGAACACTTTTTCAGTACAGTCATGAAGATTAGCTGTGTGTTTTGCCCGCAGTGAACAAGAGTCTATATGCTGCACTCATAAAAGTCTGCACCGGTGGAGGTGACCTACTGTCACTGTCACCACTGCTGAAATTTCCCACCCACCCCTCACTGAACTCACAGCCATTTCTGGGTCTCCATCACCAATCAGGAAGCATCAATGCATGTCAGTGGGTGCCATTTTTTCCACCTGGAGCAGTTCAGTGACACACCTTTGCTCCATACACACCCCATGTCAGACGCCATTCTGTCAGAGTGCTGCTCTGCTGCCATCTGTCACACAGCAACAAAACATAATGGGATATTGGTGGGAAGCTTCAGCCTCTGCTGCCATGCCACCAACAGCCGCCTCTGATGTCGTGGGCCAACATCATGAAATAGGAGGCATTATTTTCGGAGCAGCCTTTCTACTTTGGAAACCAAATTGCTATAATTAGTAATGTGATCTGTGAGGTAGAGAAATCTTATTTTCATGTTGTGTTTGAGAAGCTGAACAGAGAGATATGAAGTGCTTTGGCAGCATCTGGCAGCTAGTTAGCTTAAGTCCAGGAATGAATGCTGATGTGCCAGATGTGCAGGTCTGTGCTTTAGTCATCAGGTTACTCTTCCAACACTCAGAACTTCCAGCATGTCTCTCTTGGCCTTTTAAAGAGTTTTATGTAATATCAAATAGGCCAGCATAATATATTGCAAAATCATTTAATCATTGTTATTTTATGTGCAAGTAATTAAAGTATTTCTGGTACTCTTTAAACTCGGTGCTACATCAGAACTGTGAGTTGATTAAAATGCATTACTTGCAAAAAGCAACATAATGCTTTTATTGGCAACCACTATTAATCTCTCTGGCTTTATTGGTATTTATCCCCATATGGTTACTTTCAAGTATCTGCCTGCTAAGTACAAACCCTTTATAATGTTTATGGAGCTCTGACTACATCCTGCCAGACTAATAAGACTTGACTTTTATTAAAGTAGCTAATTTCCAAGTAAGCACGGTAATCACTGGGGAGTTCCTGGCACCCTCCCCCATGAGGCAGTGGTTGTGCTGATTGCTGCCGGGGGGAGGAGGATGATTTGAAAGAAACCCTGATCTCATCCAGCATTACGAACTGTCACTCCTTTCTGTTTGAAGGGGACTTAGCAGGGTAGAGAAGTGAGGTTACCAGGGAAGGAAAGAGACCAATACAGGATGTTTGGCTGACAGCAGGCACAACTCATGCAGGAACAGCATGGAGAGGTGAACATGGCAGCTTTGAAATGCGCTCATATTGAGCTCGTGGTGCTTGTGGGAAAGGCTCTTCACTGGTGTGTGGTGGAGGGGTGTGTTAGAGCACAGGGGGAGAGTGCAGCACTCAAAGAACAGCAGTCTCCTCTTTGGGCAAGACAGTGTTGTTAGCACAAGGCACCTTGTCCTTGCCTTTCTAAGGGTTGGGCAGTGACTTATGAAACCAGAAGTTGAGCACTGACCTGAATATGTTTCCAGGTGACAGGTAAATTTCGAGGGGGAGTGAATCCTTTTACCCGAGGATGCTGTGGAAATGTGGAACACGTGCTCTGCAGCCCTTTGGCTCCCAGGTAAGAAGAAGGGAGTAAGGGAGGTGGAGAAGTTGCTGGGAAAGAGGTAGCTGTGGTAGCAGCTTCACTGTTGCGTAGCTGTAACCTGCCCAAGCAGTTGCTTTCTTCATATAATTCGTAATCCTCATGCCAGAAATAGGTATTTGGAATGAGCAAGTCAGCTTATGTCAAGAGCTGGTAGCCTTGTCTCACCAACTTGTTCATCCGGTGACTTTCAGTAACAACTTTCAGTGTGTTACCACACTTCCAGCATGACTTTTTGCACTGTACAGTCAATGTTCCAAGTATAGGTGAGGGATTCTGGCCTCCTGGACACAAAGAAGTTATCTAAAATCAACATTTCACCTTGAGACTTGAATCTAATTTAAGGCAGCTGTGGTTTTCAATCCCACTGTCGCTTTCATTATCATAGAACAGATTTTCAACCAGGTCTACATTGCAGAACCAAGGATTTTATTTATGGCTTTCTATTTTTGCAGAAATTGATTTATCCCTTCACATTTTGAAATCGGGATTTTAATGCAGTAGATCAGATGGAGTATAAATATCCTGGGTTCTGATCTGTCTAGCCCGTGTACACACTAATAATATCACAACAGAAGATTTATTTGGGCCTTTTCGGGATGCTGAGCAATCCCAGACCTCGATACTGTTATCTGTCTATTGTTTATTTTTTTTTAATTTGCTGTACAACAAATAACTTCTACAAGTCTGTTACCTTTATTAAAATGGAGACACTGGAATAGCCAAAACTTAAAAATCAGGTCAAGATATTTTAAGTGAGCTGGACTTTAGAAGCTGGGAGATACTCTGGTTACGAGAGGTGTGTGAGCAACGTCACCATTGCTATCTCAGACTTTTAGCAGGCCATGTTTTTGTGTTTTGTGAAGGCTTGTTTGAATTGTCCTGTATACTGAAAGACACTGAGCCATCAATGCTAGAATGTCCTTTTCACTAGATGAAACAGAAAAAGCTTGTGTATTGTGCTGCTTATGTGTTGTACAGCCATTGCCAAATTGCACTTACGGAGTCACGGTCTACTGGAAAGTAATTAAGTATCTAGAATAATCCATTTCCCTTTAGATTTGTTGCTTGCTACAGGCCTGTTTCTTTTACTTCCATTCATGTTAACACTCTAAACACACTACAGAAGCAAGTCACCATGTGGTATGCTATAATTGACAGCACATCTTCTTCTCCACATTAATTCCCCACTCGCTGGGTCTTATTCCCCCAGTCTCCTCCACCTTCCACTGCAGGGAAGCTGTTTCATGATAACTAGGTAAGATCTAGTAACTTGCTTCCTTTGGTGGTAGGCCTCTCCTTCTCTCTTCTCATGATTTGTGCTCTTGTCCATCAGTGCTTCCAAAATTACTTTTTTTTTTTTTTTAATACATCCTCTCCTTTTGCTCACTAAAAACCCCGATGATCTTTTTATTGCTTTTTAATTATTACTTGGGCTGACTTCACTGAAATAATTGGAGCTTACTTATGTAGATTCTATCACATCCTTAAATCATGCCTCAAGTAGGAAGATTGTCTTGTCTCTGTCTGATTTTTAGGCGATAGTTTATTTTAATGATAACTGTTGAACAATTAACCAGGTACATAGTTGAACCCAAGAAGAAGCTGGCTGTGAGCGTGAAGCCTCCTTTCCTCAGACCTGATTTATCTGAACGACAGATCACAGTGAAGATCAGTGACAATGGGATCCAAGCCAACCTCAACCGGAGCAAGGTGAAGTGGTCTGTAGGCACTTCTGAAGAGCACATCCTGAGCTTTATGGAACTAAAGCCTGGAAATAACTTTGTCATAGAAAATCTCCTTGAGATGATGCATCTCTCAGAGAAACTGGTGGAGATTGAGTCCTTGTCTCGTACTTTATCTTCTAAAAGTAACCCAGTAGCAGCAGCTCTTAATCTATTATCAGACCTGCAGACATCTTTTGAAAGAGGTTATTCTTTCAATAGTTCATTATTTTTTGTCCCAAGAATTTCCACCTCTGTGTTCAAATTAATTTTAACTAACTCATATTGTGGGAACCCTTGAACCACCAGATTGGCTGTTGTACTTTGAGGAAAGCTAAGAGCTTCCAGATGACAAGAAGGTTTCCAGTCCAGTGAAAGAACCACAGAAGTTGTGTTTCAGAACTTGTTGAGTTCTAAATTTGAATTCTTCACTCTCCTCTTTCTTTTTCTTTTTTTTTTTTTTTTCCTTGTGGGGCTTTTTTGTGTTTTTGTTGTGGGCAGTAATTGATTCTTTGGTCATTTGCAGTCCAAAATCAGTCTGGAAGGTCTGGAGGATAAAGGTATGGATGTGCAACCACCGCTTCCACCCAAAGGAGATCAAAGCAAATACTCTGAGTTAAAAGGGCAGCTGGGGACCGGTGAAGGTATGGTTGCATGATCAGTGTTTTATTTTTAATAATATGAAAATATTTTACCCTCTTTAAAATATTATAGTATTCTTTCAGAACACTAAGGGGATCTGGGTGAAGGGTTTTGTTTTTACAAGAGCTGTGAGTTAGAGGAATAAACAGCAGGAAGGGAAAAGAAAATTTGAAGTACTTCGTTCAAGCCTAAGCTGGGTATTTCAGTTTTGCAGTTTTTAAACTCTTTTAAACCCCCTTTTAAGTTTTTGATCAGTTTAACAATGAAAAATGTCATTTTAAAGTAGGGAATCAAAAATATTAGCATAAAATGCTTAGTCATAAGAAACGAATATTTCATTTTTGAAAAGATTAAAGCTTTGAGACTGTTTAAGAAATCTCCCTTCTTCAGGCAAAATTATTTGTTGAACTGATCCCAAATAACCAGTAATTTGAAATACAGCAAAAATACCACTCACCAAAATATGTCACACCACTTTGTATAACATACCTTTTCTTCTTCTCTTTAGATTATTGCTCTGGACATGGGCACTGTTATTTCCACATGGGGCCCTGTTGATTTTGGTGGAATTCATCACAAAAATAGCAGGAGTTCCATTCTGTACGGAATGGAGCTCAGTTTGCAGAGAAGCACGGATAGCAAGAGCTTAGGAATGATAATATGCTGTCCACACATTCCAATATAATGTCCGTTTTTTTTTCTTATCCAGAAAGTGGCCTTTCACCCAAGTTGATCAGCCCTCCTACACCTGCCATGTACAAGTACCGGCCGGCTTTCAGCAACAATCCCAAAGTGCACTACCATGCTGCTGCTGAGCAGGTGAGTGAGCTGCAGTAGCCTGTGACAATCTGTCCCCAATTAATTCCAGACAGCTTGAGGCTGAGGAAAAATTCATTACAGGGGTCTTGTGAATGTCACAGTGTGAAAACAAACAACAACATTTGGCATCATTGTGCAACAGTGTAGATTTTCACTGTGCTTCTTATGAAAACATGTCCGCTTTTGCAACATTCCTTTGTTGAGCTTGATGCATCTGTCCTGCTGACAGGCATGGACTCTGCTTTGCCAGAGTCTTGACTCAGTCCTGAGGTGCTGAGAAGTGTCACCTCCCACTGGCTTCTCCTGACATACTGCCAACCCCCATTTGCTTCAGTGGAAGCTAGGCGTGCTTAGTGCCTTATCTATCAGAGTGCAGCTCAGTGGATCCTTAACACGTTAGTTTGCAAAACAGAAAAAAACATTTTAGCATCCCAAATGATACTTTAGTGAAAATTAAAATTAATGAAAAATTAATTTCTCACCTCCTTTGGTTGGAGAAAAAAACCTCCCAACACTCAGCATCTTCCTATTAAAAAAATGGGGATCAGACAATTAGAGTCTTTCCTTTGGCATGAGTGTCACCTGTTTTCTCTTTAGCTTAGAAGTTTAGAAACAGTTAACAGTATTTCCTCTGGAAGCACAGTACAAAGCCAAGCCCACTGATAATAGGCTTGTTTTCCTCACTTATTTCTCACAAACTTGTTGCAAGTATTCATTACCCCTTGAGGATCTGACAAAACCCGTTTGAAAATCAAAGATCTAGCTTGTATATTGGCAGTATGCATCCAAATCTTTATATGTCAATGAAGATACTCTTCAGACACATACACCAAATAAAGTTTTCTTATGATTAATTTTCTCAGCTCCTCCAGTGTCACCTCTAGAGTAGCAAGAAGAGGATGAAAAAAATAATGGATAAGATAGAGATGTATAATTGTTTCTAAGCAGCAGCACTGGAGTAAGACAGAACGTTCCTTAAATGATGAGGAGAACTATTCTAGTATCCTCTTCATTTTGGAAACACAGGTGGTGATAAAAGATGGAATTCCAGCTACCATCAATTTCATGTTTCAGCCTTACTGCAGTAATTATAAACCTTACTTGCTGGATCTGTCCACTGAATGAAGCAAGGACTGATATGTGAAAGGGAACATGCAAACAACAGTGTGTTCTCTGTATCCAATAAGTTTAATATCCTATTGTCTTCAATTTATTATGTGAAAAATGACTTGCTATCCAATTCAAAATACTGTATATACAGGCATCATCTACCATTTTTGAGCTGTGTAAACAGTAGGTGATATTTGGATCATGATGCAGAAAGTCAGAGAGCCAGGAAGGCAAACTTGTGCTATTCAATCAGATGCACAGCCATAGATGCAATATGGATCCAGGACAGCTTCTGGTTAAGCCAGGGCACGAGGCAGTATTTTGAATTGGCAGCTTGGTTTTGCATGTTCACCCTGGGGGTTGCTTAAAGGATGATGTTGGTATAGGCTGACTGGTCCATATACAGAGAGATTTGTAGACTTGTAGTGGAAATACTAAAAAAAAATAGTTCATTTGGCAAGCTGAGAAGGTTAAATGTATTTGTCTGCCAAACCATACCTACGTGTCATGTACAGAGAGAAAGAGAGTAGCTTGGTGTGGAATATCGTGTTACCTCTTCTGTATCAGTTCTTCAGCCTGTCAGTGTAATTCTGCTGTTGAGTGGTGAAGGCTGGTAAGAAAGAGTGATCAGAGCACAAAGATAAGTACCACAAATGCACTTACAAGCTGCATCATTTCTCTCTCCTCCTCCTTTATAGGCTGTCACTTGGTCTCCTTTTTCCAGAGAAAGTCAAATTTAGCAGCATGCTGCAGGGATACTGAGCTGTTTTGCATAGTTCCCTATCTTCTACCTCAAAGACCGAAACCAAAGAAAAGTTTGGAATGAAACAAATTTTTGCTAGTTATGCCTTTTTTATAATTTGCCTTTTAAACTTTTTTATAATTTGCCTTTTAAACCTTTTTTATAATTTGCCTTTTAAACTCTAGAAACTAGAGAATAAATTGCATTGACTGCAGTTATGATTGAACATGTGGCTGATAATCACTCTTTGCTGAGCTGATGTAGCCAATTTATTATGCTTCATGACAAACCCTTCCTTAAAGAAGAAGCAGAAACGATTTTTCTTAGCACATAATGGTCTTTTAAGTGAACAGAACTGTAAGCAGTCTTTCATGGAATATAAACAAAGGGAAGCCCTGTATATTTTCAATGCAGACAAATAAATACTGGCCTGTGTTTCCTTCTCTGATGTAGATTATTTTATTGTCTAAATGGTGGGAGGGAGCCTCTCTAATTAATCTTAGGTGCTTGATTTTGAAGACCTGTGACCTGATCTTCAGAATTGTTGAATATTTGTATCTCTGAGTAAAGTGAATAAGAGTGTGCTGGTCCCCAGTGTTCTGAAATGAAGTCTAAAGGATGTCTGACTCAGCACTCAGAACCAGACATCACTCAACTCAAGAGCTATTTGTGGAAGAGCCGAAGCAAAGTGCTTTTCCAAGGGCATTATTACCAGATTACAATCTCATTTACCTTAACAGAGTTTCAGTTTAGAAGTTATCTCGTTGTGTTCATGCATTGACATACTTATTAGTCAATATTATTTAGCAGTTACTGTGACTGACTCCTTGATTCTGAGGTGTTGTCCACGTGCTGAGAAGGGGTCAGATTCCTCATAGTGAACCTTCGTCGTAGCCTGTGAGCCTGAGAGAAGATGTCCAACTTTTTTTCCTCCTGTGCAGTCTCACAGAGGGCAAATCTGTACATGTCTGTTATAGGCCTTTGTTTCTCATATTCACCTCTGTTTTAGATCACCCTGCAGGAGGGACACAGCCAGGGGGCTCTGATAGAAGAGGATGGCAGGAGCCTTGATTACCAGTCCGAACCCAGCCTGGACATCCCCAGCTACCGCAAGAGCTCCCTTCACAAGACCTATCAGTCTTCCCCACTCCAGATAGATTCCTTTGCTATCAATTCACGATCTCTGAGCCTGAAATCTGCTGGCAGGAGAGGGACAGACAAAGTGCCCCTTCATCCAATAAAGTCTGAAGGGGCGGCTTCCACTCCTTACAAAAGCATCTTTTCTCCCAATTCCCTGTCGAACAGAAACGGGAGTCTTTCATATGACAGTTTGCTAAACCCCATGTCACCCTCGGGGAGGAAGTGCGTTGCCCATTCTGCAGTCAGCTCTGTCGGGTACCACTCACCGTATTTATCAGCCAAAATGTGCCATCTCCGGGGGAGCGAGCTGCAACGCCAACCACCTCAGAGCTTCAGCCCAGTGCTGGGGGGCCCAGCTCCACATCAGCGAGACCCCTCTCCAGTCCGCTATGACAACCTTTCCAAAACCATTATGGCATCCATTCAGGAGAGGAAAGAGATGGAAGAGAGAGAGAAGCTCCTCCACTCGCACCCCGATTCCGTGTTTGCAGACTCGGGTGTCTATGACACCCCTAGCTCTTACAGCCTTCAGCAAGTCAGCACGCTCTCTGAAGACCCACGCAGCATGGCGATGAGATACGGATCTAGAGACAATCTGATGGCTGCTACCAGTTTTAGCACAAGGAACCCTATACTGCAGTCCTCAGTGTCTTCGCTCTCAAGTGCAATGACAAGAGCTCCAAGGACTTCCACAACCTCTCTGCAAGCTGATTTAGCCAATAACAATGTCCAGACGCATCAAGCACTACAAGGCAGGGTGAGCAATGGCTCCTACAAATCACCAGGCCACCAGGTCCCATCGTCCCCCACAGGAATGCCTAGGTCACCCTCTTACGGAGGCCCAAAGGCTGTCTCATTTGTAAACACTGTGGAAATTACAGAGGTGCAATCAGTGGAAGCACAAAGGTATGTACTGCTTATGGTGCTGCTTAGGAATGAGAGGCTCTTTGTGAGATGCCTCCCTGGAGGCACGGCCCCGGTTTTGTGTTTGTTGTAGGCCAACAGGGGTGGCATATTTGTGGGTGCTCTTCTATTCTGTGGCAGCACAGAGCAGAAATGACAAAATACTTGCATGTTTGCTGTAACTTGAACTGCAGGTGGTCAGTGAAGCTGTGAAATTCATTGTGATTTAATATCTAAGGCGGACTTGATAATTACTTGCAAGACACGGGGCAAATTATCCCTCCTGTTACACGTGAAAGGGTGAAGCTGTTGTAGTGCACTGCCTAAAGGGAGACTGGACCCCACCTTTGTCTGGGCACAGAAGCACTAACAGGATGACAGCACATACAAATCCTGGAAGCTGTGCTTGGCATAGAGAGCTGTGTATTCAGCTGTGCTGCATGTCCTGTAGTACAGAAGGAGTGATGAAAGCAGAGGCCATCTCACTGTGTCCTTCCTTACTGTTAGAAGTGGTATCTGAGCAACATCTTCAGCTGCAGCTTCTGCATGCACTTACCTTTCTCTTCCTTCTGGAGACTTGACTTTGTAATGGAAAGTCTGAAAAGAGCTCCATGACCTTGCTGAGGCTGCAGTGTGGGGCCTGGAGAGCTAATTGGAAATATTTAGGCTTTCTTTGCACTTGGCAGTTTCTTCACTATGCTGTCCTCTGGTTAATGTCCCAGGTTTCTCACTCCAGCATTAACATTTTGGGGAAAGTTACTGAAATGAGGGACAACCATTACTATAATTCTCCCAGAGTTTAATGACAGCAAATTATTTCCCAGTGTTTTCAAGTGAGCTACAGTTTTTCTGGTTTGTCTACTGGTAGGAGAGCTAACATTTAGCAGGCGGACGGCCTCTCCTCACATGAGTTAGGTGAGTTTGTTTCAGTGGAAGAGGACCTGCCAGATTTCTCTTGCCTCTCTCCTCTCTGTTTGAGTCCTGGATGTGTCAGCTGTTGCTACAGGAAAGACACTAATATGAAAAGCTCTTTACCTTTTCTTAACCTGGGACTTCCAGAACATACATGAGGTCTTTTATCCCATTGCTTGGTGAATCCTGGGGATTAGACACACTGTGTTTTGATTTAGACCTTTAAAAGGTCTTCTGAGAAAAGCCTGTTGTCGCTTCACCCTGGCTGTAGGTCATAAGAAAGGAAATTATTTAAAAGAGTTGATCAGGACTATGGTCTTTAATTACAGGCATCATAGTGTGCTTCCTGACTTGATTCAGTTTGTGTCTTCTATGATGAAGAAGTTCTACACTCCAGTTTTTGTATGTCTTTCAGAGATTAGCAAGATAGTTTTGTTTAACTTTGAATATTTATCTAGAAAGTGTTTTTTCAGAGCATTGTGTTTCTAATTGTAAGTAAGCACAGTTTGGGTTAAAGTCAACAGTGAAAAGATTTAAACTTTCCTGAAGATGCTTTGCAATTAGTTCAGTTCAACAAAGCATCTAAGCAAGTGATTAAATGAGCATTTTAACAAATATTACTGCAGTCTGATCCACTCATCTAATGGCCAAGTGAATTCTCTCATTTCAGTGGCTTTTCATCATGTGCACTGGCTTCAACCAACTTCCATGTTCAAATATTTTGCATCAGTGGGACTCAGTCTAACAGTGGTGGTTGTTCATCCTGAATGAAGCCATTCTGTTATCACATTTGCACACTAACATTATGTCTTGGTATTTCTTTTGGTGCAGGGATGACATACAGATGAAGACACCGCACAGTAAAATAAATGGACAGCCAAAAGGAATATCTAGGCTAGGCTCAACGTCAAGTTCCCAAGGAACACCCGTCAGCCCTGCTAGACACTCAAATGTTAAGAAGGTGTCTGGAGTTGGTGGAACAACCTATGAAATTTCAGTGTAAAATAAAATTAAATGAAAACAAAGAGCCATCCACTCAGCCAGCCATGAAGCTAGGAGCACTGTGAAGACTCAATTAACAACAAAGAAGGAGCAGCAGCAGCTGGCCACTCTCCTTTTTTCTTGTTTTGGATTTGTTCTGTTTTCATCTGTCTTTTGGCCAAATAAACAGCTGCAGCCTTATTCTTGACGGAGTAGAACTGTACAGTCCATCAGATTCGTCTTAACTGACAGACGGGAACTGGCTGCCACCTACCACCACAACCACAGAGCGGATTTTTTATGCAAGAGAGTGCTGAAGCCATTGTGCATCTGTCTGCCCAACATTGTGTACCAGTAATGCAGTGAAAAAAGGGTCAGTCCGGGATCGTTCTGTTTTCCTGTGCCCCTTCCCAGTTCTTCTGGCCAGCCACGTGTCCAGCAGGAGTCAGAGGTCCAGCTGCTGCTTTTCTGCTGGCGAGGAAAGCGTGCTCCCTGTGCTGGGCAGTCTGCAGGTGTGAGAGCTGCCCTGCGTCTCCCAGGCGTGGCAGGTCAGGTTCTCCTAGGCAGGAGTGGGGCAGTGCACCCTGCACCACGAACACTGTGTCATCTTCCAAAGGCTCTCTGCTCTTCTGTCCCAGCTGGGTGCAGGAGAAAGGGCAGCGGCCGCTTCTCCCAGTCTGCTGTTCGCCTTCCCACGTATGAAACAAACGTGCGTGCACCCTCGTGTCTGTCTGATGGGAAAGGACTGCACCACCAGTGAGGATCTTCCACTCTCACCTCTCATCCCTTTTTTTTAAAGGCTTCTGTGACTCAGAAATAAATCCATGTGGACACGAAAGGAAGTGTTCAGATGGGAACAAGTTCTAAACAGTCATCAGCTGCTTTCCCTGCACCCTCCCTCTTGCCTGTTGGATCCAGGCAGTAAGGTGCTTACTGCCGTGCCTGGTGCCCTGTGCAGTCCTGCAGCAGGGTTAGCATGAGCTGTTGAATTTACAGTGTGTGTAACTGAGCCAAGCGTAAGTCTATAGGATATAAATTTGGTGTCTGCCTGATGACTGGCACATTCCCTCTGGTCTTCAGTACTGTAAGACAAAGGATTTTTCTGTTTGGTTTTTGAATTTTCTTTCTGTTGGGGAACAACTTTTTAAAATAATATCAAAAGATTTAACATTCTGAGGTTTCCTTTCCTTGTCTACAGAAAACTACGTTTGCTTTGTTGGATTTAAAGACGACTTTGCTGTTTAAAAACAAACAGAAAACGCAAGAAAGTGTTACGTTATTTTTTGTCTCAGAAATCAGAACTCTGGTAACTCTAATTTTGGGGCAAATATTTATTTCCTTTCTTTTTTTTTTTCCATTCCTGATCTCCTTCTCACTTGCTATCAAAAGTACGGAGGTCTGGACGAATGCTAAGCAGCCAGAGTGTGTGTTCTATTAAAAATATCCTGAGTGACTGTTGCCAAAGTCAGTAAAAATCATTCTTTATCACTGAGCCAGTCAGCATATGAAACCTCGACTTTTCACCTCGTTCTCCTGGTAAATAGTTTTGACTAGAGAGCTAAATTCCTTGTTTTTCAGGATATTGGTTTCAAGGGGCTAAATCCTTTCCAGTCCTTGACCATAATGGAGAACTCTCCAGCTAATTGGTAGCCATTCAGGATGTGTCGATAACATTTTACTTGTGTTCATCTACGTCGAGATTAATTATTCCAGAAGGCAAATATTGACCTCAGTTTTGCCTGGTTAAAATGGATCTTTTGATGTGATAAATGTTGACATCTACTGCAATACAGAGTTACTACATGTTCCTTTTGTATCGCATGATTTTGGAGAGGAAGACTGAAGTAAGCATAATTATGTGTAAAGCTCTATATTGTCCGAAGGGAGAAATCGAGAAAGCAGAGCAGCTGAAATAGGCCGAAGTTATGAGAGAGTGAAGTAGGAATCAGTGTGCATTTTATGGCCTCGGTGATATTTTAAATGCCTGCTGTAAGGGCATTGCAGAGAAGCAGTCGTCCTGCTGTGCAGATTTGTTTGCTGCCATGTGGATATCGCCGTTAGTTGGAGGCGCCGCGGTGCCAGAAGAGTGCTGGCAGACTGGATCGGGTACAGAGGGAGCAATGTGTGCTAGAAGACTGGACAAGCTGGCTGATAGGAAGATTCAAGGGGCTGAAAGCATGTCACTGGCCAAGCAGTGATTTGGAAATTGAGTATGATAATTTTACAGATATGTTAGTTAAAATAGGTAAAACCAAAGGCAAACCAGAGTTGTTCCCTGGTTTACATTCAGAGGGAGGAGACGACGATAGGGAAGGAGAATGGGAGTAGTCTTCCAAGGCAGAATACTGGAAACTACAGACTGAAGACAGTCAGACCTTATTCAGATACGTGATGAGAGAAGGTTCTGCTCAAGGTGGAGCTGCAGGGCCAAGAAGCTACACCCTGCAGCCTCAGATTTCTGCTGTCTTTAACTGTTACTGATCTGCAGTTCTACCCTGATGTTAGCTCCTCTGCAAGGTGCAGGACTTCCTCAAGGGCTGGAATTCACTCTGGTGCACAGAATAACAGGACACTCACCTGTTAGTTAAATGCCATGTCTGCCACACGTCAGGGGATGGTGGCACAGAATTTGGGCTCACCATCTAGATGAGGGCACGTTATCATGTACCTATGAATATGTGCATGAAATACATGCAAGCAAAGCTGAGAATCTGCACCAGTGTTGTATTTGAGATTTGCATCCCAGCGACGCTCCACTCTTTCTTTCTTCTGCATTTGTAAAATGCAGGAGATCATTCTTTCTCCTGCATTTGTAAAAGAAAATGCTATTGAGGAACTTGAAGGGCCAGAGAGCCTCTGAAATTAACTGCATTAGGTCATGAGAGAAGAATCTCTCAGTAAGACTGAACACAGTGGTGTACGTATAAAGCACTAATATCCAGGGTTCTTTCTGAAGGAAAGGGCAAGGGAGGAAAGGATGACTGCACTTGACTGCACTGTCATTACAGGCTCAGATGTAAGGATTATGTATTTTGTGAGTTGTTTTGGCCACAGTTAAGACGCATTGGATATGGTAACAGGTTTACAATGGTACCAAAGTCTTTTTTTTTTTTTTTTTTCTTTTGGGGTTTGCATATAATTCAGTGCTCATAGCCTGGAGTAAATCATTCAAGTTTTCTGGCAGAATAAGCTGAGCAGAACTGTTAACAGGAGACTGCATGCAGCAAATCCAGCCTCCTTTCCAGCCAAGGCACTGAACCTACAGCCGTTCTCTTACATGTAAGCACCTGTGTCCATAGCTCCTATTGCAGGGGATCTACTTACTGCATCTGATTTAGGAGCAGAATCCCCTCCCTTGTTAAAATATTGTTCTTCAAACAGTTCACAGGTTAGCAGCCAAGTTCTTCTATTGCCCAAATCCTCAGTTTTTACAGACACTACAGCCAAATTTTCAGGTGGTGTAAACTGGTGTGGCTCCACTGAAGCTAAGTAAGTGATGCTGATTTTCAGTAGGTGGGATCAGCTATGGAAATCCAGCACAAGTTAACACATATTATAAAGTAGCTTCTTGATTTTGTCATGTTTATTTCATGTTCAGAAGTCTTAAAGCTTTTCAATGTGTTTTTATTTTTAGCTGTGGATTGTATTACTTTAAAAAAAAAAAAGCAATAGATTTTGTTTAGTTTATGCATCAATGTTCATTGCATATTGCATTTCATTAGCTGTTCATACACTCCCATTTAGCCTCCAGGTTTCCATTGTAGTGCAATCTGCCTTGAAAAGTTGGATCTCTGTATTGTTAATTGTATAATATATTGAGCATTATGAAATTAAATGTACCTTACTATGTGGGTGGGAGAGAGAGGAAATATTTTTACTTGAAGCCTTAATATTTTCTTTTTTTTTACTGCTTTGTTTGTTGACCTCATAGGAAAGTCTGAATAGCAAAGACTTTGGGCCAAATACTGCACTGATATGCAACCAGCATTTGGCCCCCATGTCAAAACTGGACGCAGACAAAACCTGAAGGTAACAGGGGAGAAAGCCTCAGGGCAGCATCTTTTCCTGGAGGTCATTAGAACAGTCTGAGCTGTGTCTGTAAGTAAGCACATTGAAGAAGTCCTCAAGTCTTGAATTGTAAAGAAAGGTGATAGCAGGAACTGCCCAAATATCTTACATTTGCTTTTTCTTTTTTAAATTAAAACAGATGTAATTGCAGTTTGCTCAGAGCTGTAAGGGTTGCACAGAGCTGTGTTAGTAGCCGCGTGCAGCAAATGAACTGTGCTGAGTGGCTGTTCTGGAATTGCTAACGAGGCATAATGTCACATCAGCTTGGCCTGAGATGATCACCCTGTGGGCGTTACGTGGTGCTCCTCAGGAATGCCTACTCTACAAGCCTAATGTGGAAATGTGGTTTTGTTTGGGCTATATCTGTGGTCCAGACTAGATATATATATATAAGTATATATATATACAATTTTTATTTTTATGTGGGGAAGATGAGGTTAAGGTTGCTGTCCCTGACAGTCTGGAAAGCTAATGCTGAACCGTTTCTATGGTCTGTATTTCACCTGTTCTGCCACCTTGAATTGTTGGAATGTATCCGTGCAGGCTTTGTGGAGCTCTGTCTGTAACCTTTTTTGTGGCTCTCGTAATACATACATATATATTTTTAAACCTTTGAGTCACTTCAGTATTTTAAAGCGTCCAGTGTCCCTGGTGCGTTGTGCTGACATGGCCTCGGGTGCTCAGTCGGTCTGTGGGGTGCTGCCCCTTTTCATTTCTGCTTCTGCAAAACGTGGACTGAAACAGCTGAACTGGGCAGGCCAGTTCCAGTGCAGAACCCATGGGTGTCAAAATATTAAACCAAGTGATCGCAGGTGCTCATCTTCAAGGTGCTTTGAGTAGAAAATAAGAACCTTCTAAAAAGTGCCTCCTAGTTGTGACCAGTGGATCATGCTTTTGGGGCCGCAGCAGGTAGTGCAGGGACAGCGCGAGGTGAAGCTTTTCCTAGAGTCTGTTGTGAAAGTTGTGGGACTTAATAGGAATCCTGTGGTCCAGCACAATCGGGAATTGTTGCTACAGAGTAGTGTGGAAAAAAGTGTTCTATCCAGGATATCTGGATTTATACATCCCAAAGATGTATGACTTTTCATCTATCTATCTTCATCTGTTTCTGTTCTTTGGAAATACGTCCATTTGATGTGTAAGATTGGCTTATAATTCACACAATTGCCAAACTCCTAACAGCAGCTGCTTCAGGATTTCTGATGCTGTCATTTGCATATGTAGACTAATTATATTGAGCAGGAACCCATTCAAACTTGTTCATTATAAATAGCAATCGTATCTGTGTGCCGTAGAGGCAGAGGTTACCTTATTACATGTCCAAAAACTTAATCAACAGGCTCCATTGATGTTAACTAAGTCAAACAGATTTATGTAAGGACATGAACTGTTTTAGTACATTTTATTTAAAGACATGTTGGCTTACAGAGGTCTTGGCTTTCCTCTCTCTAAGTAATGGATAAATTATCCACGTTTATATTCAATTCTCCATCACTGTTATTATTTTTTTTTTATTCTGCAGGATGAGTTTCAGTTCACATTTTGGAACATAATAAGGAGAGACAAAGGAAACTATTTATACAGGTGACTCTATCTTCTAAGAGAGAAGCGGTTATATAATAAATGGATTAGAGTTACTGTCAAAATAGGTTTTGTTCATCTTGTCACAATAACTTGAATTTTAAAGTAAGGCTTATTTCATAGCTGATATCTGTATAGCCCTGAAACATTTGCAAGGTTCCTCGGTTAGACATTTCAAATTATATGAAGAAATATGATCTACTTCTGCAGATTAAAGAGTCTCAGAGAAGTGATGGTACATTTTACAGTGCCTTATATATATGTGTATATATATATATGTATATATATATATAATGCCTATGTGTATATAATGTATACATAACTGTACATATATTCAAGTAAAACTAGTTCTAGGTGTCCCTATCTGGTGTATTTTAAATGGAACTGATCTGTGTTGATAGAAAAAGAAATGGTTGTATCAGCAGCAAAATACAAAACCAAAAATACTTATTAAAACATTAGCAAATAAAACAGACTGAAAACAGTGTTTCTGCCAGTGGTTATGTTCCATGCTGTGGAAGACTGGTAGGTATGCCCACTAATTTAAGGCATGTTTGGAGAAGAGAAAGCACTGGTGGAAGTTGGAGAAGGCGGAGAACATCAGAGAGCTTTCCTTTCACCCCAGCACTGTGCCCCTGCTTTAATATCTGCACTCACTGTGTTACGAATTTGCCCTCTGTGTGATGAATTCTGCTTTTTCTCCTGAAGCCACGTATGAGTTTGGCTGTGGGACCTGAAGGCCCTGCTGGTCTGACCTGCTGCTGCTAAGCCCACATTCACTGCGTGCCACGTGGCTGCATCAGCAGCAAATGGTGACCCTGAGCGTCCCTGGAGCTGGGCTGTCCGTGGGAAGCTGTGAGAGCACGAGGGATCCCTGAGAGCCCCCAGTACAAGAGAGCTGAAGTGGGGGGTGGGCTGTCTTCCAGGGGCAGCCGAGAGCTCTGAACTGTCAGAAATTGCCTGAAATGAGTGGCCTTGGGAAACCCAGCTCTCACTGCAAGATCCTTCAGCCTCACTGACATTGATCCACCAGTTCTTTCCAATGGGCAAAATGGTTCCTTCCTGCCAAGTGTTTTTTTCTCCCAACAGGCATGCGGTCTTCTGATACAGGCTAGATACAGAACGGGAATTTTTGCAAAGCTTCAGACAGTGGATCTTACCTAGGGGGAGAGAGAAGTGTCTTCTGAGGCAAGAGATGCATCTCAAGATTGTAAGGAGGATTCTTTATGTCTTGCTTTTTTCATGCAAATTATTTAATGCTGTGCTGCCATGCTGTTTGCCCTTTAGACATGCTTTTTTTTTTTTTCTGTAGATTTTCATATAATAGTGTGACCATTTATTTGCAGGGAATGTAAAGGACTGACATGTCCTACCCTTACAGTATATTAGATCCTAAAATGCTGGCCTGAGGAGGACAGCATCTGAGTAGTGTGGGCAGTGCTGAGCTTTACCAGTATTTCCTAAACACAATCCAATTTTTTGTCCAACTCTATTTTTAAAGCAGCCTCTCTCCCTACTGACAGAACCTTGATGTCTTCATGTATGTGCTTTTGAGTGGCAGCCAGCAAGGAGGGATGTGGGTGTACTAGTGGAGCACCAAAGCAGTGCTTTCCTGCTTTCTGGCTTGTCCTTTCTCATCACGTGCAGGTAAGTGTCTCCTGGGCAGTGGTTTCTTCCTGCATCCCCTGCATGAATGGATCTGATTTGGAAGGATCCTGTGATGCCATTTCATTGAAATGTGTAAAACCAAGGAATTAAGTACTTCTAAGTAGGTGTTGGTTATGACTAGCTTTTCAGATGCACTGTGACAGCATGCAGACGAACTGCTGTGTTGTTGGCCACAATCTTTTAGGATTATAGCTCTGTGCTGCTGTCTTGCTGGCGCTTTCCCAGCACTGAGCTGAGATCTGCAGGATGAGCTGCAGCAGTTTGATGTTCACTTGGAAGCACAGTCTGCACTTAAGGTGCAGGAATGGGCACCGGGCAGTTTGGCACCATTTCCTGGCTCCACTGCAAATTGCTGCTGACCTTGCACATCTGTCTGTGCCTCTTTGCTCCGTGTCAGATGGGGATGTGACTCCCCAGCCTCACAAATGTGTTGTGTTTGTGAGAAGCACGAATCCCATTGTTCTGCAGTCTGTGTGGCTGGAGCCAAGCAGATGCATCCCACAGGTATCCAGGAGCAATAGGGCAGATGGGGGGCATATTTAACCTCCAAGTATCATTTCAGGACACATTCTTGGGAAGAAGTTTTTGGGTGTTTGTGTGATTGGTGTTGCTGACAGTCATCTTAGTGCTGACTTTGAAGGGCAGTTTTAGTACAAATATGATAGAAATGTCTGCCTTGATCATTCCCGTGACCTCTTGCATATTTCCTTATAATCCAAACCCCCTTCATAACCCTGATACAGCACTATCCTCATTCTAAGGGATCATGTACTTGATTGCCTCAAGCAACTCAGCTTTTTCCTGCGTGCTTATTGAAATAGGTGTACATAATACAATAATAATTAAAGTTGCTGAGTAGAAATACAGTAAAATAGCTGTAGGGCCATTGCAGTGTGCTTTGATAGCACAGAACACAGAGTGAGAGCTGGAAAAAGAGGTAATGGAAAAGAGAAAAGAAATACCTTCAGCTGACATGAAAGGGAATAGATAGTGTCAGTAGAGAGCAAAGGGCAGCTGGTTTTATTGCTGGCAAGAAAAGTTTCCTCCAGTTTCTATCAGCGTGAAGGATTGGCTGGGTCAGGCAGCACGCTGTTAAGTACATAGAAGGTCTCTTCTTCCTCTCCAGATGGATTCCCATCATTATATTTTGGAATGTCAGAAGGTTATAATGTAGGCAGGGCCTTGACCAGGGCAGGGCTGTGAGGCAGAGCAGTAACATAAATCTTCAGAGCCCTTTAAAGGATTAGTCTGGGGGCAGAAAACAAGCCAGCAGGAGAAAGTTCAAATGAAGATCTGTCCTCGCAGGATAGCCATTAGTTTTTGGCAATTCAGATTACTCTGCATTTGTCTCTGAGAGGGACTTATTGTATAAAATGCTTGTTTTGATTTTAAGCAGCAACCCATCCTACGATGCCACGTGTCTGTCACCTGTACCATAAAAATCCCAGAGCAATACACTGTACAAGGAATTCCCCAAGTGAAGTAATTCCAGCAAAGACAGTCAGAAACGTACTTAGTTTGAAACCAGATGGCTACTTCTGCTGACACTGGCTGTATTTGGCAAATACTGGATAGAATTTCCAAGTCACTGCACACACACATGGACATATTTACATTTTTGTGTGTGTGTGTGTGTGGATATACATAATAAAAAGCACAGCCTTTTAATTGTGTGTGCTGTGATTCATCAGCAGCAATAGCTTTTGGCAGGGACATAATTTCAAATCTCCTGCTGAGGGTGTCTGCCAGAACATTGTTGGACAGAGATAGGATGAGGAAAGTTACTTATAAATGGGGATAATTAGGTCCTGTGCTTATTAGTGCTGGGAAGGAGACAGAAAAACGAAAAAGTGTAGTACTACTTGTAATACAAGAAGATGCTCTCCATGATTCTCTCCTTGATTCAGTGAGAACCAAGCACCTCAGCTGAAATAGCATCAATATGTGCTGCTCCCAGGTGGCAGATCTGGGGCTGGGGAGGGGTTGTCATGTGTAGGACAGACGGATCTCAACTATACTTAGTCAGGCTTGAAATAGTACCACAGGATTCAGCTCCGCTACTGCAGGTGCTGAGCTCTTGTAACCGATGTGACTCTCATTACTGGCTTTTGTGTTTTGTATTCAGGCAAAAATAAACCCTGAACAAATATGAAGTGGACTAACTCCTCTTCTTCAGCACTGCTGGCGCACTGTGAGGAGATGGCCCTGGCTCAATCTGGTGTTGTGCTCATCTCTGTCAGCAGAGGAAGGCCTGTGTCTGTGTCACAGCAGCCACATGGATGTACGTTACGTCCATTTGCCTTGAGAAATACTGTCATTAAGACAAGTGCATCATTCCTCTGGTATTCTCCCTGCAGGTATAAGCCTAATGAACACATAGTAAGGTCATAGTTTGTCCTGCAAGTGCAGATTTTTTAAGCATTGGCACAATGCTGAGAAGGTGCGTTGTTCAGGGTGATCAGTGTGCTTAATGGTGGCTCTGAGCGAGTGCTTTGCTTTGCCTGGGCCTCCCTGCCTGACACGGGGCTGCTGCTGGGGGAAACGGCTCGCAGAAGCCCGGCTGCAGCAGCTACTGCTGCCATGCCACCAGCAGAGAACGGTGTGGATGTGGGTTTCTCCAGACCCGTAGTTAGAACCGCTTCACCTAAAAGTTATTTCATCTCTTTTTTTCCCTGCACGGCCTGTATGTGAACACACTGCTTCCAAAAGAAGAACAGCAGGGTATAGACGGCCCGTGTCAAGCTCATCCCTAGGGTGATAGTTCTGAAGGAACACAGGGATGCTGGGAACCAGCTCTGAACAGAGAGGTAGGAAAGAACATAGGAATACTAGAGTTTTGCCTTTGTAGTTTTTGTTAAGTTTTAATGGATTGTTAAAAGTAGAAATCCCCTAAATTGTGTAGTGCTGTACATCTCAGCACCTAAAATGGTTTGCAAGCAGAGTGCTCCCGTTATTGCTAACACTGACAGTTTGTTAGCAAAATCAAGGTTTACTGATAGCTAAGACAAAAGGGTTGGGAGGGAGCTGTTCTTGAGGCAATAGTATCAAATCTCTTTTTGTTTCCTGGATAGTGATTGCAGTAAAATGCTCTGCTTATGTTTCCATTCCTTAGACCATCTGTTTCCAATGAGACCCTTCTGGCGTGATGCATCATTATTTATTAGAGCATTACATTAGATAACACAGCATTAGTATTTTTGTAATAAACCCTCCATTTTATGAGTATGACTTCAGGGGCAGAATTGGATGCCTTTCCTTAGTGAAAGAGGTAGAGACAGTATTAGTATAATTAGTTTACCAGTTCAGAAATGTTCTTTTTAGTCTTTCACAAAGAACATTTTTGGTGCATCTTTTGATTTGTAACTGTGCATGCTCGTGTTTGGTAAACACAAACGTTCTAGTTTTAAAGGGCCCTGCTGCTTACTGAGGGAGAAAGGAGAGAGACAGCCTTGGTCAGCTGCTCACAGCTGTATTTGAGATACTTCTCTTTACCAGTGATACCCAGCACTGCTAAAAATTCCCTTTCCATCTGCTTCGGCCCAGGAGATGGTGACTGCGAGCTCCAGGTTAAGAAGTGGGTTAGTCTTTCATGATTGACTTTCTCTGCCCTAGATAAGGTGAAGCCTCGTTTTAAGTGTGTTTATGGAGAGGGTGTCTGTGGAGGAGGACAAGTCTTTCATCCCCAGTGAGCTCCTCTCTCGTTTTTGTTTGGCCAAAAGAAAGCTGAAGGATCCTTGAGTGCATGACTCAATTGTGAGATTAAAGTCAAGATCTGAATCAGATCTGGCATGGATTTGTGTAGACTTCCTTTCATGCCAGAATCTCCCTAGATTTTATGTTGTATTTAACCAACACAGATCTTGTGTGGTTGTGTTAAACTTTCAGTGGAGCAGTCAGATACGATCAGAAAGCCAATAGCACAGCTTCCAAATCTTTTTCTTCTTTTTTTTAACTTGTCAAGTCATACAAACCAATGATGCTTAAAAGCAGTATTTCTTGCTCTCTGAAACGTGTATTAAATGAGCTCAAGTAGACATCATTTTATAACCCAATAGTTTAAACTAGCATATCATTTAAATTTTGCTGGGCCTGAAGCAAGCCAGGATGACATCAGTATTTCCTTCACGAAGGCCAGCAGTGAGCCCACAGTGTGTCTGAATGCATTTGGATCCAATGACCTCATGTTTCCTTTTCTCTCTCCCCTCTTTTGCTAATAAATTTACAGCTGCATTTTGTATCATGCGAGATGATACATTGTGAGCAAACATATCCGGGTTGTGGAAAAGGCTTTTTTTCATTTCTTTCATGTCAGATGTCCTTTTACTACTCTAATGGTTTTGTTCTTTGAAAAAGTGCCTGAAAGTTCCTAAGTTTTTCTTGCCAGCTGTAGGCTAGAGACCTACATAGCTAATGGTAAACATCTAAACACTTCTCATCTCTGCAGTGATCTGGGTCCCGTGCAGGAAACAGGAGATCTTTGTACTCCGTGTGCAGTGAAGCTCTCACCGAGAGCTGCTGTTGCTCCTGCTGTCGCCATCAGGTTTTGCTGCCTGCCAGGAGAAAGCAACACTGTTTGTCAGGCAGCATCTGTGCCGTCTTTTCTGACGAATCTGTGACTTCTGGAGGTTGTTGTCCCCAGAGGGCAGCTGGCCCTCAGCTCGCATAGCTCTGCATCTCACCCAGGTGGGATGGCCGCACTGCAGCTATCAGTAGCACCAGCTATCAGTAGCACCAGCTATCAGTAGCACCAGTGTGCTGCTGCTGGACTAACAGGATAATTCCATTAGTGGGTACCATCAGGAGTTGTTATCCTCTTAGGGGGATTTTCTGCTCGCAGATGAAACACAACACAATGAAATGGGATTAGAATTGTAGTCATATGAGTATTAAAACAAACACAAACCGAGAGCATGGAGTGAAATGGCTCCTAATGCAGTGCAGGGCGGTGTGTCTGAGCTGTGGGTACCGCTGCAACCAGTTGGTTTTTTTCAGCCTGGTTGACTTCAAGCTCTACAGAATGGTAAACTTAAATTAAAAATAATATTTTTGGATTTACTGAGCAAAATAATACTCTCAAAGGTGATCTCAAAAGACTTTCGCACATGAAGTATGACAGTCCCTAAAGCAACCAAAACTAAACTGCACTGTGAGCATCTGCAGAGGAGATTTCTGATGGTGAAGTGTTATCACAGAAGAGTGACATCCAAGATGCAGCACTGAGGCAAGCAATCATATTACCCATTTTCTTTTCTAGCACAGTGAGATTTACCAGGTGTTCAGCAATGTGGTGGGTTTTTTTTTGGCTGAGAAAACAGTTCTGATTGCTGCTTATGATGGTCATGGAGCAGTCTGTGAGTTCCCTGCTGGTGGCTGAGCACAGCCCTGCTGTGAGCCAATGACAGGCAGAATTCCCTCTGTGGGAATGGGGATCTGGGCCTCATCTTGGACATTTTGTGCAATCAGTGCTTCTGTAACAACACCAAGATTGCACTGAGATTTGGTTTTAGATTTCAGTTCACACAAGTGGGAGATTTTTATTTATTTATTTATGTATTTTTTGAGCAATTGCAGTGTTTGTCCCATCCAGCTTCAGCCCAGCCCCAGGCAGGGAATGGGACCACCTGCATAGGCAGCCCTGTCAGCTGCTGGGAAAAGAGGAGTGCTCTCTATGGAGATTAGGTTGTGAGTTCTGTAAGTAAGCTTTTGTTCTTCTCAGCTCTTGATGAGAAAGAAGATATACAGTGTAGGTATAGCATCTCTATGATAAGGGCTAATACTTCCAAGTTAAAGAAAATAACAAAATAGAAATGTTAAAGCTACGTGAGAGGAAACATTAAGCTCAGTACCTTAGCTATAGAGACAGAGGTATGCAAGAAGGACGGAAAAAAGCATCAAGTCTGTAGCAAACGTTCCTCAGTCCTTCTGTCCGAGCTGTGTGGCCGCAGCGGGTCTGCGGGGTGCGCGCTGCTGTGCTGTGCTGAGCGTGAAACAGAGACACGGAGCGGCGGCTGAGGGAAGGACGCGGAGCTGAGAGCTGGGAAAGGCCCAAGTTCAGCACGAGGGCCGCTCCCGCTCCGCCGCGGTGTCCTGCAGCGCTCCGTGCGGGGAGCAGCGCTTCGTGCTCCGCTCTGCGCTCACGGCGTGCAGCACGGCTGCTGCCAGCCCTGCGCTGCCGCACCGGCGCTGTGCTGTGCGGGTCGGGGAGCTGCAGCGTGGAGAGGTGGATGGGAATTGGACGCATTGTTAAAGACGAAAAATCTGAAACGTGGCAAACACTGCACTTGCAAAACTCTGAATGTAATAGGTGGAAATGAGCGATGAATTTGGATGCCGGCTCAAAAGGAAAAGCACCCCGTTCTGCTTATCTTTCCGCAAGGATTCAGTCGTTTTTAACTTGCGGACAGGTGCATACAAAGCTCTAAATGATTGCTCGTGAGACCACGTGAGGTTCAGCACTGTGTGCACAGGGAGCTGCAGCTCCGCCGTGCGGGCAGGGGAGGAACATTGGAGCTCTGGGCACGGGGCTGCAGGGCTGCCGGACAGGGAGAGAACTGCGTGTGGCTCCTGGGGTTCTGCGGCCGTTACTGCGATGCTGGACGTGACTGTGCAGGGATGGCGTTGGGCCTATCTGGAAAGCCGCTGTTCTGCTGCTTTGTCAGAGGTATTTCGGGTGGGGCCTAAAGGTGAGACGCTGACCAAATCACACGTGATGAACGTACCGATCGGGCACCAGAAATGACAATTTGTTTCTCTTCTTGATCCGGAAAGGAGAAGGAAGCCTGCACAAAGGAAGCGGTGACTGAAGCAAGGCACGTTGTGCAGAGATGTGCGGCGTTGCGGTACCCAAACGCAGTTTTTTAGAGGCACGCCGTGCCCAACCGTTAACGAACGTCTTTTCCTTCGATACCCAGGCCGTCTCCTCGGAGCCGTGCGGACGCAGCTGCTCTGCTGCGGACATCGCCTGCACGGGGCAGCTCCGACCGGCTCTGCGCAGCGCTGGCGGTGCTGCCTGGCGGCTGCGGTGGTCGCGCCGCGCCGTGCCGGTGAATGTTGCCCCACTCGGCGCTCCGTCCGGGGCGGGGCGGCGCGGCGCGGGGCGGGCGGTGCGTGGGAGCGAGGCACGCGGCCGCCGCCCGCGCCATGTCGTTCCGCCGCGCCCTGGCGTTGGCCGCCTGCGGGCTGGCCGGCGGCTCCGCGCTCTTCTCCGCCGTGGCCGTGAGCAAGCAGCCGGCCCGCGGGGACGCCGAGCCTCGGCCGGGGGGCTCCGCCGCCGCTCCCCCCGCTCCCGCCGCGCCGCAGGGCTTGCTGCTGCTGCCGCCCGCCGCCTCCTGCCCGCCGGGCCCGGGTTGGATCGAGCGGCCCGCGGGCGGCGGCGGCGGCTTCTGGGACAGCAACTGGGACCGGTGCGTGCGGCGGCGCGAGGGGCGGCGCGGGGCCGGGCGGAGGGAGCGGAAGGAACGGGGGGAGCGGCGGCCGCCCCGGGCGGGGACGGCGGCGGTCGCGGCGCCCTTCGGCCGGAGCTCCTCTTCGGGGCCGCGCGGCCGGACGCCGCCTGTTGCGTGGGGGCGGAGCGGGGCCGGGAGCCCCGAGGGCCGGGAGCTCCGCGCCGCCGGAACCCCGCCGACATCTTGGAGGCGCCGCGGAGCCGCGACCCGCCGGGCGCTGAGCACCGCGCAGCTGCGGCCCTGCGGCGCTGTGCTGCGGTGGGCGGGCGGTTCTGGGGGCTGTGCTGGGCCGGGGGGCTGCGAATTCATTTAGCGGCGGCTGTTGCCGGATTTATTGGGTTTATCTCTCAGTTATAAGCCATAGTCTGCGGGATTCGCGTGGCTTTTATTAACGCGGGATTTTATCGGTAGCTCCAGCGCAGTGGTTTCAGTCCGTTTTGCAACAGAATTGCTTAAATAGCCCGTTTCAGTGCTTCGCGTGCCTATAAGTGCGGCAGGCTCATTCGATTTTGGAACTCCTGTCTCTGTGTTTCCTGCCCACCAATGCTGTTCCACACACACCCGTCCAGGCGCGAACCGCTGGCTCTCATCAACCTCAAAAAGAAGAACGAGGAGACGGGGGAGGAGGAGCTGAGCTCCCGCCTGGAGCACTGCAGGGCGAGGGCCACCCGCCACATCTTCCTCATCCGCCACTCGCAGTACAACCTGGACGGCCGCGCCGATAAGGACAGGACGCTGACCCCGCTGGGTACGTAGGCACAACCTGACGCTGTGCTCCTCACCTCGGGCACAGTGGTGGATGGATGAGAGCTGCTGCTCTCCTTTGGGTTTTGCTGCCAAAGCTTCATCCGTGTCACGGCTCCCTTGCAGATGTTACAAACGTGGTTTTTCCATTTTTGATCTTCCAAATCCAAACGTTTAAACTTGCTTTAGGGCATTCAGAAAACACTGGCTTGTGAGAAGCACAAAGGAAGTTTCCAGTTACTGTCAGGTTTTTGAGCGGGTTTTCCTGCTGGCCAATACAGTTTCCCTTGGCTGTGGCTTTTGTCTTAAACTGAGCTCCATAGCGACCTTTGAGGTAGAGTTCCCATTAATCAAGAGGTTGTGTTTGTTAATTTGCTGATTTATTTTCTGAAGGTCGAGAGCAGGCTGAGCTGACGGGACACAGACTGGCAAGCTTGGGATTAAAGTTTAATCAGATCATCCACTCCTCCATGACCAGAGCAACTGAAACAACTGAAATTATAAGCAAACACCTCCCAGGTAAGTGACTTCTGTTAATTTCTCAGTATCTTCTGATCCTTCAGACTGCTTCCAGGGGGATTCTGAGCTAATCCTTGACTTACAGTGTAGTTGAGCTGCTAGCAGTCAACTTCTAGACCTGTGTGAATGTCTGTAAAGAAACTGACAGCCCTCCTTCTGCTTGTTTCCAGTTCCTCTTTAAAACATCAAGGGGGAGCTGCCCCTCAGTGAGATGCTGCTACCTGTGTGTGCTGCTGTGTGGGCAGCTCTGCTGGTTGCTCTTCCTTTATGCATTTTGTGAAGCAAAGATTGCTACAGGTCATCAGGAAAAAAAATAAGAAAAATGTGTTGGCTGCAGAGGTGTGGGGCCTGCTTGCATGAACATGTGACGTAACAATTCCTTTCTGAAAGGTATTTAATATTTTAGGTGTCAAAAAAATTAGTACTGATCTGCTGAGAGAGGGAGCACCCATAGAACCGGACCCTCCCGTCTCCCACTGGAAACCAGAAGCTGTGGTAACCTTTACACTTTGTTTCTTGTATTTTCATTTTTATATTTTTGAGTATACTTCATATGGGCAGTGGTAATAACTTGTGGTGAGCTGATGCTTTTCATCATAGACATTAGATAAGTATGTGCTTCTTCCTCCTCGGTAAGGGTACAGAACCCCTAAAATAATTAAAAATCTCTGTGTATTAATTGAACCTCAAAAGTATGCGTGTGTGTAAAGAAGAAATCTTTAGAAGATGTAGCCAAACGCTGCTCTGAGCTGTGTTTAAATCTGAACTCTGTGCCATTAGCAGTATTATGAAGATGGAGCTCGAATTGAGGCTGCATTTCGAAACTTCATTCATCGAGCTGATGTAAAGCAGGAGGAGGACAGCTATGAGATCTTTGTCTGTCATGCCAATGTGATCCGCTATATTGTCTGCAGGTATGTGTCAGACTGCATGCTCACCTGTGTTCTTTATCAGGTGGCGTTCTGCTCAGTTAGCGTTGGTGTATTTATTGTGCTGTGTATTTATTGAGCTGGGAGGTCTTTGTGCGCTGTTAGAGATGGCTGAAGGTGGGCGCTCACAGTAGGAGCAGCTGGTCCTGCAGCTTCATCACATGGTGAATTTGGAGATACAGGATTTGAAAATTAGAACACTTTCAAGTGAAAATGGCGAAATTGGTGACACTTGGTGTCCTTTTGCATGTCTGAACAGAGCACCATGTGCCTCTGCTTCATAAAAACCTGAAGACCATACCTGGAAAGGACAACAGATAGAGCATCCACCTAGGTGCCTCTTTTGGGGGAGATGTGAATTTGATCTTACTTAATGAAAGACTGATTGGGTTTTGGCAATTCCTTACCACTTGTTTTTGCAGTATGTACAGGTGGTATTGGTGTGTCTTTGCAATAACATCGAGTGTAGGATTGGATGGGAGAGGGCATCTTTCTGCTAACGTCAGTGTGGCCTGTGAAGGAGAAAAAAGTTCTGCATCTTTGCCTGTCTCCGTATCCAGTCACCCAAATCTGTTTGATTCCTTTTTCTCAACAAAATGCAGTCTGTAAGATAATGTGTCTGAGCGGGACAGATGTGATTAAACTTTAATCTGATCAATAACTACAACAATTTCAGTTAATTTTTTTTTTAGCTGAGCTAGTTATGTGCCAGCCTGCCTGTTCTGCAGACTGCATAGAGCTCTTTGAAATTGCTATACTTAAAGTTATTGATCAGGTACACAGAGTATTCTTTTCTGTGCCAAAAGGGGTTGTCTTTCTGCTACCTAGGCTTCTTTGCTTGCTTTTTCTCATTGCTTTCTTCCATCTTCTTTTCACCATACCCTCTGTATCTGCCATTTCAGGCTATCTCATAGCAATTGAATGCAATCCACAGTGTTCCTTTTGAGTCCAGCTTGACTGTAGCTATTATCTGTTCTTTCAGCCTTTCTAAAAGACCGCTGTAGACTCAAGACCAGGTTATTCCTTGGCACCAGATAGAAATGTTTGAGTCCATTTCATATTTTCTTGAGCTGTTTACTGCAATTGGTTAAACTCCTCCTGAGGCTGTTCAGTTAGGAATTTTAGAATAGCTGGGGAGTGGGCAGATCTGTGAGACTGCATTTCTACAGGAAGCACAGCGTACTCATTCTTTTCACATCTGGGGAACAATGTAACTGATGGGAAGTAGTTGTAGCCCGTGGCTTCCATCACACACACTGGTAACTAGAATGAATTAGACATCCTGCCTCTTCTCTGGTGGATTAACTTACTCTGATTTAGTCTCAGCAGCAGAAGTAGTGCTGCTTATGCCTTTGGTCTGCTGGAGAAGAGACTCTACCTCTATACCTGCCCTGAACAGCATTGCTTAGTGGTACTGTGTTGGCTCAGTGACCAGCTGAACCTTTGGCATGCGCCATCCTATTTGTTCTTGGGTTGCTCAGAGCACTCCCAGCATCCAGCCTACATTACACCTTCTACCTTCTGTCAATTTGAATTAATCCTGTCTACATTAATCGCATCCATCTGCTAGAATCTGCTTATGAAAGTACATTCTTGGCACTGATCCAGTTAGACCAAAGCTGCACTTCTGTATGAATTAATTGCAGGCAAAAAAAAAAATTCCCAAACATGGCTCTGTAGGAGCATTTACATGCAAGCTGGAGAGCCACCAGCAGCTTTTTTTTTCCTATTTTGAACAGAAAGTGATGCTGTCAACACATGTTAGTACAATGATATTAGCAATATTTTGATATATAATATTTGTCTTTCTGTCTTGTTTCTTTTCATAACAGAGCACTGCAGTTTCCCCCTGAAGGCTGGCTGCGGATGTCTCTTAACAATGGCAGCATCACTCATTTGGTGATACGGCCAAATGGGAGAGTGGCCCTTCGAACGCTGGGTGACACAGGTTTCATGCCTCCAGATAAAATCACACGCACCTGAGGAGTGAAGCTGCTGGCTGCCTCTGGACCCTTTGCACTCATACACTCAGCTACAGTACCACTAGATTTTTATCTGTCATTGTGATGCTGTCTTAAAAATGTCCTTCAGCCCCTTTGCCTCCTTCATGCGCACTCATATCTGCCTTCCAGTCCAGAAAAGAACTTTAAGCCTGAAGCTGTCCTGTCCTCAGGTATTCCCCAGAGCTCAAAGCTGAGCTGTGGAATACAAAAAGAGTGAATGTCTGTGTGCTCAGCAGCTGCAAGAGCACCGACTTTTTATTCCCCTGTGAATTCCTATTACCAAAGCTTGCTCCTGTGGATATTTTTCTTGTACAGGAAAATAATTGCTATGGGAACTGTACGAACAGCCTTGTATCGCACACTGCAGCTGAAGGTGTGCCAGCTTCTTTCAGCTGTTGCAGAGGAAGTGGCAAACTGAAGGTATTCTGCTGTTAAAAGGAGAAGGGGTTAAGGCTTGTTTTCATAAGCTGAGGAGGGTGTACGTTTTTGTTGTGTCACTGTTCCACTCTGCCCTGAGAAGCTCATGTAAACTGTGCCTGGAGGTTGTAGGCATAAGGAGGGTAAGAAAACATTTGCCTCAGAGCTGTGGTGCTAGAATTAACTTCTGCTTATACTGAGTGTTCCTCCATCCTCAGGAAGTACCTTAAACTATTCTGAACGTTATTTTTTCAGTCTCATAAAGCCTTCAATTAAAACTTGATCTGTAGAAAGATGTAGGGATGGGATTTGTAGCAGTAAGACAAAAGCAATGTAAAGCAGTTTTATCTGCGCGTTCTCATTACTCTTATATTTACAGGGAGTGAATTTTTTTCCTTCTGCTTTCTCCCATGGATTTCTATTTGTGGATTCCTTGCTTTTGGTGTAGAGAAATAGCAGTGCTGATTTCAGGGCAGTAGTACTTCAGGTCACAGGTTCTTCAGGATTGGGGCAAACCGCTGCTTAAAACTGCAGTTGCCCAAATGGTGACAGGGCATCTCTGGGCTGGCTTCTCTAGGCCAGAGCTTCGTGTAACCACCAGGCAAATGCTTTATGTTGAGGTAAGGTGCTTCTTTCAGTGGCTTTGGCACGGCTGGACTTGTGTAGGAAGAACACAGGTGGCTGAGAAGTAGGTAGCATTGAGAGGAGGGCTCAGAAGCATTTCATCTTAATGGTGTTTGATTAGCTCACAATGCCTGTAATACTGAAAAGTTCTGTATGCATGGTCTGCTGTGGTGATTGATTGTGCACACACTGCAGTACGGTGGACATAAATAAGGTGTTTTATTGTCTATAGATTTTTCTTATCTCCAAAAATCTTAGGGAAACCCCAGGCTGGCTCCTGTCAGAGCTGTGTGAAGCACGATTGTGGCACACCACCCAGCAACACATGGCTTAATGCCTTGTTTCTTACAGGACTGCTACATCAGAATGACTTCAAGGGAACTGGGGCTAATGGGGAATAAAATATGGTCATTGTAGTGCAGCTTGTGGGGCAGCAGGAAACCATTGTGGTGTCTGTCTCATTGATGCAATGAGAATAATTTATCAGGTTTTTTTGTCTATTAACTTTTTAAAAGTTTTGAATAAAATAACTGGTCTGTCTTTCTTTCTTGTCCCTTCAGTTCAATAGCAAAATGTTGTGTCAGTTACCACTGCCTGGAACAGGAACAGCAAACCTGTAAGATGAAAGTTCCATGCACTATGTAAATATTGCAGAGGTGCTAGAAAGTCTTCTCAAGGTCAGTGCCAAGTAAGTGCACTTCTCTGTTCGCTCCAGCACTGGTGGGACAGGTGTCTTTCCCCCCCCCCCCCCCCCCCCCCCCCCCCCCCCCAGCCCTTTGTGGTGTCTGGCCACACTGCACATCCAAAACGTGTTTGCACACATACAGAAATCAGCACTGCAACAGAAATGCTGAGTCACGGCCTGAAGCAGTGATGGAGCACCTGGGGGAAAGGCAGGGCCAACCCAGGGAAGCTCAGGTTCAGTGATTGGAAGGGGTGGAGCCAGGATCCTCCCCTTCCCAACCTCATTTAAGGGGTGGCAGTGGAGGTGAGGGTATCTTGTTGGAGATCTCTGTATGCCTGATGTCTTCTGAAGGTAAGCAAATTTTCATTTCTGTGTCCATGGCTGCTGTACTGGGGCTTGTTCTCATTTGCTGTAGCCTAGGATTGTGCCACTCTATTATTGCTGTATTTTCCATCACACTGTAGCCCTACAACCACTTTTTTTTAGTGGCATGTAAGTTGAGGTGTGGGATGAGCATTAAATCTCAGTGTGTAATTTTTAATGTATTCAGATTTCCTCCTCCTTAAACATTCTGGTCCTACCTACACAGTGGCACAGTCAGACTGCCCTGTGCACACACACACAGGCCGTGTTAATGAGTCCTGTACAGCTGTAACCAGCCTGCACCCGGCCCTGATCCCAGCTGCTTATCGCCTGCTACCATGAAGCAAACACAGCCTGACACTTTGAGCACTCGTTTATTTTTGAATAGAAAGCAAGGTAACTGTATTTGTAACATGACACTTGGCTAATTCAAACAAACAAACAAAAAACCCTGATCTTTTGCACCTTTAGAAGTGAACTGAAGCAACCCCAATCTGATTCAGTGTCTCCACAAATTCAATTCTTCACAACTGTGAGTGATCAGTCGCTACATAAACTGCTACTTTTAAAAAATAGCTGAATTAAATATATTGTTTGTTAGAAAAACTACCTCTTAAAATGCAGTACAACTGGAGTAATGCAAATCGTGTAACAATTAAAAAAATATTCTCTGGGCTGAACCAAACAAAATTACAAAGTGGAAGGCGGGGGGTTGGTGGGAAGTGCTGCGGGGCTGGGTAGTGCCTCTGCCTGGTTTGGTGTGTACACACAAACATAGCAGTGATATACATTGAAATATTTAAAAAAAAATCTTAAAAAATGTAAGAAGGACAGAAAGGAAAAAATACTACTGTGTGTGTTAGTATCAGGCTGCTGGCTCTGACAATCTTCACAAAAGCACAATGTTGCCTTGTGAGAAATGAAGAAGGGCCAGGTCTCTGCACAGCTTAGGACAGGAATTGGCCTTTATTCTCTTAGCATGTTGTCAGGTGATTATTTTCATTTAGCATTTGAATAATTTCTGCACAATTATTGACATCATTTATGTTGAATTCATTATTAAAAATAACCAGACCCCTCCCTAACCTGTTAAAACTAAAGCTGTAGGATGGTGAGCCCTGCAAAAGCACCTGGGGAGCACAGAGACCTCAAAAACAGAATGCTGAGCAGTCAGTTAGCAGTGTATTAGAGTATGTTTTTTCTTAAATATCTGCTCAAGAATGACCCCCACAGCCAAGCTGGGTGCCAGGAGTACCACTGAAGGGCAGTCCTGTGATAAAATGGCTCTTCCTGATGTCCAGATCATTGGAAAAAGACTTATATTATAAAGAAGACTCTCAATAAGTTTTTTTTAAATAATTAATTTCTAAAATAGGAATGTTTTTCCACAGTGTAGACCTGTTGCACCAAATAAACTTCGAAAGAGACATTAAAATATCTTCAATTTAGAAATTTCAGAAGAAAAAACTTTTGTGCCCCACTGTAAGTAAGTGAGTGGATGACACGTCTTCACTTTTAAAAGAACAAAAGTGTAATTAAAAATGTATGTTACAAAAGGCACTGTTAAGCTTGCAAAAGCATTAAGTGCATTTTTTAGGTTTCTACCAAATGAGGACCCTGTTTAAGGGTACATGGGACAGTCACTGCAGTGTGTGTTGGCCACAGAACATGGCAGCATGCAGCTCTGCTGCCTCGCCTCTGTGGGTCAGCCCCTGTGGCAAAGGGACCCAGAGGTACCTGATGGCATCCTGCCTGCAGTTACTGTCTCCTTAGGTGTAGAGTGAGGTTACAAAGTCCAAGGTTACTTTTACTCTGTGGCACCAGTGAATCCCAACCCATCCTTTTAACTAGCACGCCACTGGCAGGTTGTAATTAATTTTTCTAGTTAGTTTTAGGTTGTGAGGATAAGACTGGTTGCCTTGTTTTTGTTTTTTTAAATACAGAAAGCTCCCTTTGAGTTTTGGAACTTCAGCAGTGTACAGTCAAAATGAGTGATTCTTTCAGGAGGCTAAAGAAGGAATAACAGAAATGAGTTACCATGTCCAGACTGGAGCCACAGTGACAGCTTAGATGTGTAGGCCAGTATCTGTAGTCCTCTCTTAGCAGCTGGGAACTGAGGAACTGTATCACGAGTCACTGGATAGCACTGTACTGCATTACAGACTACACCATTAAGGTACATTACTGGTAAACTTGCTGAAATTATTGCTGATGTGCTTTTAATAACTAATTATGTTCTGCAAACGAGAAAAGCTTTTGTGGGGAAAAGCGACTAATTTTAATTTTTTTAAATCTTCAAGCTACCATTGAAAGGATTACCAGTATTTCTACAGTGCCCTTTTACTAAAACACTCGTTACATCATGGTATTTGTTAACAGTCTGAGGTTAAGACTCAAGTTTTGCTGTGTAAATACATGCATACATCTAGAAGTATGTGTGCATATATATATATGTGTGTGTGTGTGTGTAATCAACTCTCCATCAGCCTGCTGGCTGTAACACCTCCTTTCTGGTTATGTTGAAGGGTTCCACATCGGTACCCCACACTGGAATGCTGTCACCACCCAGGCTTTGTTGTAGGCTTTTCCAGTTGCACATCTCCCCCTGTAAGCAGAAGAACATTTTACATCTTGCCATTAATTTCTTCTAGTAAGGTTTCTAGTAAGATTTTACTGATGTGCTTCCTTCAGCCTACCCAAGCAAAGATCAATTGCTGAGGGCTAATGAGGTCGTTGTGCTAACGACAGCAGGTGATAGTGAAATACCACCAGCTCTAAGACAAGGTTCAGCTCATTGGCCTGTGGGCAAGAAGGGAAAAGTCATAGCTACTGGACAACTGCACTGACCTCACTAACTTCTTGCATATCACCAGGAATCTGTCATCTCCTATATGACATAAAGACATATATTCAGTTTTTGTAACATACATTTGTCCTCAATTGAGGAAAAATAAATAGCCAAGTGCAAACCTCGTGTCACTTGAGTAGTATTGTAGTTTTTTCCTT